TCAAACCAACGCCTAGGTACTCGAGCTCACCGAGTCCACTGGAGTGGCTCGGCGCTCTCCGTCTGTTTTGCAATTTCTCCTACATCATTGACGGTAGAAGAGTTAGGTTTTGTTTCATGTGAGCTTTGGTGTTGATGTGTTATGTCGCTTCAGTAAGTCATGATAATCCACATTAGTATACTCTTCAGCCAACTATGCTGCAATACAAAAGATAGTACCTATGAGGAGCGTGATACTACACATTACAGAATACAAAAACTAAAAGGTAAATACTATGATGCTCTGTCCTACTATCCATGTAATGTTAGATTGTTGTTGGAGGGTGAACATAAGCGGGGAGAAGAGGGACAAAGAAACTGGCAACATAAACGTCACGAAACCCGGCTCTTCGCTATGTCAACAAGTGTATCCAACCAAACGTGTACATCGTCCTTCGGACCTCAGCTTAGCAGTCGGAAGGCACCAACCGATGCCAAGGTCAAAGTTGGTGCCTTCATTCCTCTTGACCAAGTCATCGCTTGGCCTCCCCTCCTTTTCTTTTATCAACAGCCCCGGCGCGCAAACGATGCACATCAAGAAAATTGGTCCACTTGCATGCGCAACACGTGCCCCAACCATCGGAGCCTGGTGTGTGATGTAACAGTGCTGAGCAGTTCACTCGCTTCTCTTGCACCATATACGCGACGCTGAACACGCTCATTGCTCATGAGATGTTCCCACCAGACATGGGCTAAGCTGCGAAGACAGCAATGATCGAACATAACCTGTCTCTATGTCTGTCAACTTGATGGGCCAAATTTCGCAACTATAGGGTTGAACGCACGGCTGCGTTGTAAACTCTGCCCTTCAGGGCGAGCTTGATATCGCGCCGACACTACAGGGGAAGCAGAGATTGGCGACGCACCTCATATTTTTGCTATACGGTTTGAGTTCTCATCTTCCGACCATGTTTTAGTGCGCGCATGCTTGGCGCTCACTCTTCCCACTTCAAAGAAGCACCTGTCTTCTAATCTTACTTGTAAGTTGAATTCGCAATATGCACTCCAACAATATCACGACGAACTAGCCCACCAATTGCCAGGGATGAATGAACGCTGATTGGGATCGTCTCAAATGTATCAAGAAGAATGCCTTTGATGCCTGCTGTGCATCCGAATTGTGCCGTCGTAACTGCGGATGGATCTCTGAGGCATAGACCAGCTTGATCGAAGCACCGAAACAAGTTCCAACAGGCACTAAGTTTTAGCGTGTCCGTAACTCTCTGAAACACAGCCTAACAAGGTATCTTCGAATCGACCAGGAACGTTGGTGTATCTCAAGGGCCCGTTAGGTGGAGAAAGCCAGTGCTATTGTGAACAGCCGAGTGCTATGTTAGCTCATGTGGAACAAGGATCTGAGAAAGCCAACTGTTAGCGAGACAATAACTGAGAAAAACGGACAGCTGCTCCATTCTCACCGTCGTCGACTAGCCCGTTGAGCGGAGCATGTTGAGGAGCAGTTCAGCCGGCCTGCTGCGTGATTGCCGTATTGCCTGAGCCGATGGGGGAAGGAGATGTCACACCTCCTACTTTGGAAGAGCTTCGAAAAGATCTTTCCGTGTTAAAACGAAACAAAGCTCTTGCACCCTACTACCTCCCTCCATCTTTGATCTATGATTGTAGTGAGCCTTTGTTTGATTGGACTCGCTACTCTATTTAACACGATTTGGAACAGTGATGAGGTATCTTCAGACTGGCGACTGTTAGCTGTCGTGCCCATCTTCAAGAAGGTTCAGCGCACTTTGTGCGAGAATCATCGATGCATCGGCCTTGTTTTCATTGCATCCAAACTCCACACAGGCATCATTCTCCGACGACTTACTGGTCCCCGTGAGAACCGAATTACTGAAAGCCTGGCTGATTTCCACCCTGATCGTGGTTGTATCGACCACATATTAACTCTTCACCAAGTGTTAGAGCATAGGCACGTATACAGACGACCGACAATGGTGATTTTCTTGACTTGAAAGCTGCCTTCGACTCTTTTGACCGCGCCAGGTTGTGGCACTGCCTATCCATGAAGGGCGTACCCGCTAAATTCCTTTCCATTATGCAGTCTCTGTCGTGATTCCCTTGACCGTGTGAGGGTTTACGGAAAACTGTCCTGAGTTCCCCACGACAAGTGGGTGTTCGCCAAGGTTGTCCTATACTCCTTTCCTCTACAACTTTGGTATCGAAGTGATCATGAGTGACTCCATTCTTTCAGACTCTACCGGAGTGGAAGTTCTGATAGGCGACCGACTGGTAAAATTGGAGTATGCGGACGACATAGCTCTTCTTGGGTCTGACACAGTGGCTATGCAGACACTGCTGCAATCAACTGACACGTAGCATCGCACGCTTTGGCATGTGCTTTGCATCTTCAGAGTGCAAAGTGCTACTTCAGGACTGGACCGACACACCTCCAGTTCTAGCTATCACTGGAAGCGGTAAATCGGTTCACTTGGTAGCTGTGTCACCTCTGGTGATCACATCATTGAGGATGTTACTTAGCGTATTAGCAATGCCCGTGTGGTTTTCCTAGAGACTCAACCATCTATGGAGACGGCAGGATATCAGCGTGTCAGTGAAATTTAAGGTGTATAACGCTGCGTATAACGCTGCGGTAAGCCCGGTAATACTCTATCGATCATATCCCTGGTTTTTGGCAAGAAACCTTCTGGTACATCAATGAAATGTTTGCTGAATCTCTTTCGCTTACGTCGGCTAAGTCATGTCCTTCGTATGCCCGTTGACTGGCTTCCTCGGCGTACATTATATGCCGTTGCCTCACCCTGTTGGGCGAAGCCGCTTGGTGGCCAGTCCATGACGTGGCGTAGTTGAATGAATTAATTGTTTGAGGCACTTGGTCTGACTGGTGTGTGCCGTCTTCGTGGATGGTGTCCTCGGGATGGCTCTCACCCATGGTTTGACACGGTATCAAACATGACGCAGTCACGCAGTTGTTGGCGTTCGCACGTTCGGTTTCTTGCATATAGTTACTAATTTTCGTTCCATTCTGATTAGTTTAAGGGACCTTCTTCTTGTTTCCATTTTTTCGCATTTTATTTTCCCTTAACCCCACTATCTTGTCGCTGCTATTTATTGTTATTCTTACGATGTGGTTCGTGGCAACTGGATCCATCACACTTCGGTTCTGGGATCATACTTGACCAACTGTGCCGAATTCAGTTGCGATTCCACTTGCGCTAATATAGCTGCAAAGCTACTTGGATTTCTGCACGATTTTTAGCTTACTGCCACGGAGAGTAAGCGCGGGGGTGGGTTATTGCCAATCTTGGAGTGGGATTCTGCATTTTGATGGCGCAACGACTAAACCGGAACCACTGACAGCCAATGCGTTTCCGTCCAATACTGCTTGGCAAGTTTGGTAGCCTGTCACAGATGAGAGTAATGTCGTCAGCATACTCCAAGTCGATAAGTCCCTCACCTGAAAACAGTTGCACACCTTCCAAGTTGTGTCCAGTGGATACCAATTCCATGACTTTGTCGATTGCGACGTTATAAAGGAAAGGTAACAGCGGGCAACCTTCTCGCACACTGCTGGGGATATTGAAGGGCGGTGTCCATTTGCTATAGACCCTTATTCGGCTTTTACTATGCGTGTACAGCGCTCTGATAATGTTTAAATATTTTCACGTACACCTTTCATGAACAGACAGTCCCAAAGGGCACATCAATCAGCCGAATCGAAGGCACCTTTGATGTGGAGGAACACGACTGCGATTGGTCGCTAATAGATATGGCGGTGTTCTAACAATTGGCGTAATGAAAAATGTGATCAACACAGCCGCGACTTCGTCGAAATCCAGCTTGCTCCTCACGAATCTGATTTTAACTAGCGCCACTCAGTCTATTGAACACGAGAGGGGCGATTATCTTAAAGGCATTTGAGATCAGCTTGATCCCTCTGTGATTACCTTAATCCGAAAGTTAGCCTCCCTTGAAAATTGGAACTAATGGAGCGGTTCTAATTTGTTAGGAAGGCCTTAGAAGTACCATCCGAAACCCTATCTACCATGTTTGATGCAGCAGATAGATCGCCGTTAGTTATCTTCTGCGACGACAGAGCATCAAGAATTCGTTTGAAACGATATTCACTGTATTGCGTGGGTCTGATACTGTCAGGTCATCCAGGGCTACACAGGTGAACGATAGCGATTCTCAACCAAAAGCTTTGGTTCACAAACATGACGGCAAGCTAGCGGGGTTTTAGCACTGCGTTATATAGACTCCGTTTTACTGAGAAAGGTGCCACCCTCACTCTAACCCCCAACCTGGAGGACCAGGCAACTGAGTTTGTCTGCCCTCTAACCATTGACCAATGTGGTATGGATGGTTCTAAATAGGTAAAAAGCACCACCAGCATAGCTCATTGGATTCTGGAGGCGCGCTATCCATCACACCACGTTATGGTTCAGTCTCATCGTGATGGCTTTGGCCTAAGATACATAAAGTAATAACGTTGGTTGCTCGTTTCTTTTCCTCAGTACCACTAGCGGTTGTAGTTATCATTTGCTTCGGGAGACGAACTGTCTTTCCTGTTTTTCTCCTTGTTTGCAACAAATTTTTTATCAATTATCCAGGTGTTTTGGGCTCAACGAGCTCTCCATTTATCACTTACAGCGTGTCTTTTTTGCTCAGGTTAACTGTTCGATAGTTTGTGGCGGTTGGATCGGAATTGAGGCTACTGTGATCCAATCCTATTGTGCTCGCAAAGGTGGGATACACCCGATCCATGCTTTGCTTGGCTTGCGGATCTGATGTTGGAGACCATCTTCTGCTAGGAGGGGGTACACATAACTTTGATCTTATCTTCATCCAAAAGCTTATCACGTCCGATGTGATTGAACTAGGACTCGTTTTTTCCAACGCGAAATGCATTCGTCACATTGTACCCGATTAATCCATACGATTTTCTTTTCAGTTCGCCCTCCGCTTGAAGCCGTCATCACTGCAAGCATGGCTGTAGAAGTGTTGCAGACTTCGAGCGAATTAGTGCAGGCCATCTTCGCCGGAAACCATGACCAGTGCGTTCGTTTGATAAATCCTGAATCAGCAAATCAGCAAGTGCGTCCACTTCTTCGCTCTCCTTTTTTCACCTTCTGTGTATGCATTCTCCATCCCCTTTCCATTTGATGGATGGCTCACAAATGCCTGCTGTGCTCCACTTCGACGGTGCTGTGTACCACACAAGTTTAACTCAGTTGTCGTGGAGCTTCTGTGTGTATCGTTGGCTTCCGGTTGGTTTCCCGTATCGACTTAATTATCACTATTTTGTAATCGTCTACCTTCTGGCATTTCAACCGTCTTCTATTTGTGCCATCTGCGGTTGGCTTCTTTATCTACACTTTTCCTTCATCCTCCCTTTCTGCATGCATGGAACACTGGCTAGCATTTGCCATTGGATTGCCCTCCGCTTTCTTTACCAATGCGCTTGCGTCGAAGTACTTGCCATTTTAATGGTGTGCGTAGCATTTGCTTTATTCGATTGAACATATCCACTCTTTCAGTTACCTGCATCAGATCATGTTTCATGTTTTCTGATTTCGAGCAAACTCGACTGTCACATCACTGGTCTCGTCTTTTCTCGTTTGTTTCACCAGGATCTTATGAAACGCAGCATTCTTCATGCTGCTGCGCACTGTGGAGAATCTCATATCACCGAATTGTTACTACGTGAGGGGGCTCGTGTCAACGCGAAAGATGCACGCTGGCTCACTCCGCTTCACAGAGCATGCGCTACAAATGCAGCTGAGGTTGTCAAGGTTTGTCTTCCTAGATGCCTATTTCTAAAATGCTTACTTGTTGTCTGGCTACACCAGCAACCAAGCATTACGTTTGTTCACACACACACACACACACACATATATATATATATATATATATATATATATATAAACTCAGTCTGTAACATAGACATTGAACCATTCAAAGCCATGGAAATTCGACTAGAATATGTACAACGATGTCAAAAGAAAGGCTTATAAAGTTCCCAACAGGGCATCTTCGGTCCCGAAGTTGAATAGAAACGGAGACATACGGTATCCTTGTCGCACATCACTAATATCAGGGAAGACTGCAAAGAGCTTGTCGTAGGCTCTTACTCTGCCTAAACTATGGAGGTAAAATGCCCAAAGGATGGCGACTTACTCTTCCGGGACTCCGTTCTTTAGTCATCATTATCATCATCATACACGTTAGCTAGAGGTGGGGAACACCTCAGCTACACTGCCGCAATACACAGAAAAAAAGGAGAAAAAAGAATTCAACTGGGGGGCAATCCGGCTGAGCTACCGGTAACAGATGGGCACCGTTCCGGTATGCTACCAGCCGGCTAATGTGCATAAAAAAAATTACTATGCAAAATTATATAAGGTTAAATAATGAAATCGTAGTTGGAGGGGGAGGCTAATAGGGATTGGGTGGGACAAAGAAACTCACAGCACCAACGCCTAGTGTTAGCGAGACCATACGCGACGAGAGGGGGCAGCCGATCCACAGCCTGTCAAATCGCTTGGAGCGTTGGTCTGAACACTTTGCAAGGCAATTTAATCAACCTGAGTTATCGCTCTCTTCTTCGGGCATTGAGCGCCCTTCTCGCTGGGCCCTCTCCTTGGATCCTCCAGCAGGCGCAGAAGTCGAACGTGAGATCAGACTGTTGAAATTGCATAAGGCCGCAGGGGCAGATAGAATTCCCCCAGCCCTCTTCAAATTCGGGGGACCTGCTCTAATACATGATATACACGAGTTGCTAGTAAAACTTTGGAAGCAGCAGACAGTCCCGACAGACTGGAACCGCTCCGTCATTGTCCCAATTTTCAAGGGAGGCTCTCGTTTGGAATGCGGCAATCATAGAGGGATCAGTCTGATTTCGATTGCCTCTAAATTGCTTGCCTCTGTAATTCTCCACAGACTGACTGGCACTCGTGAAAGCCAGATTCGTGAGGAGCAAGCCGGATTTCGTCGAGGTCGGGGCTGCATCGACTACATCTTCACCTTGCGTCAAGTGTTGGAGCACCGCCATGTTTATTGGCGACCCACCGTTGTCGTGTTTCTTGACATAGAAGGTGCCTTCGACTCAGTCGATCGATGTGCCCTTTGGGACTGTCTGTTGAGGAAAGGTGTGCCTGATAAATGTGTAAATATTATCAAAGCGCTGTACGCGCATAGTTCGGGCAGGGTGAGGGTTTATGGCAAACTGTCGCCACCCTTCAGTATCACCAGCGGTGTGAGACAAGGATGCCCGCTGTCACCTTTCCTCTTCAACTTCGCTATTGATGAAGTCATGGAAACAGCGTTCGCTGGACTTGACCTAGAAGGTGTGGAGCTACTTCCTGATGAGCGACTTCTTGACTTGGAGTATGCAGACGATATTGCCCTAATCTGTGACAGCTCCCAAACGTGCCAAATAGCACTGGACCGATTAGCACTGGCTGTCAATCGTTTTGGGCTATGCTTTGCTCCATCGAAATGCAAAGTACTTCTCCAAGATTGGCAGGGACCCAACCCTGCGCTAACGCTTGGTGGTGATCTGCTAGAAGTCGTTCAGGAATTCAAGCACCCGGGCAGCTACATTAGCAGCCGTGCAATTGAGGATGAGGTTACGAACCGTATAGCAAAAGCTCGAGGTGCTTTTGCCAATCTCCGCCACCTGTGGCGCAGACGCGACATTACTCTCGCTCTGAAGGGCAGAGTTTACAACCCAGTCGTCCGTTCAACTCTCCTATATGGCTGTGAAACCTGGCCCATCAGGTCGACAGACATAAAGAGGCTCGTCATATTCGATCATCGCTGCCTTCGCAGCTTAGCTCATGTCTGGTGGGAGCACCGCGTGAGCAATGAGCGTGTTCGACGTCGCGTATTTGGTGCAGGAAGAGCGAGTGAACCGCTCAGCACCATTATATCACGCACGAGGCTCCGATGGCTGGGCCACGTGTTGCGCATGCCAGCACACCGACTCCCGCGACGTGCATTGTTTGCGCGTTGTGGGTGCAATTGGAAGAGGAGGAGGGGAGGCCAAGAGATGACTTGGTCGAGAGAAATGAAAACCCTCACTTCGAAGTTGGCGTCGGTTGGTGCATCCCGATTGCCTGGCTGGGGTCCTAAGGATGGTGAACACGTTTGGTTGGACACACTTGCTGATATGGCTTGGAACCGACCCCAATGGCGTTTGTGTTGTGAGTTCCTTTGTCCATCCCCCTCCAATCATGATCTCACTTGATAGGTATAATATGACTCTCTTTTACGGCAGCCAGCTGTTAGCTCTCCGGAATGATGTCCATCCATTACTGGGGTCTCAGCGGGTGCGGCACTGTTTGTTTTCCTTTTCTTATCTTTTGTATTGCGGCACAATAGCTGAGGTGTTTTCCATCTCCAGCTAACGTGTAATGATGATGATGATGATGATGTCTCACCGGTTGGTGTGCGAGTATTAAGTGACAGTCGCCAACTTCTAATCGGTTAATCCGACCTCAGGCGCCGAGGCAAATACGCACTTGCCTGTGGTATGTATTTTCTTTCATCTGCTTTCTGACAAAGTACCAGGGACCAGAGGTGAACAGTTGTTTTTGATCTTTCATTGTTAGACCTGTACAACCATATGGGTAAAATAGCAATGAATACTAAATACTGTATTGTGGGAGCAAGTATAGAACTGAATCCGCACAACTCCATGGAAATATTATCAGAAACGTTAAGTCAAGGTAAGCTTTAGGTACCCACTTTACAGTCTTACCTGCGGATTAATCCCGAATGACTTTAACAAATGAAAATTTTTGTACTTGATTACAGCAAAGGGAAAAGGGCGCATTGGTGTCACTCAAGTAAAAGGGCTCGCGTTCTTGAGCACTGAGTACACATTGATAAATAGAATCCTCGGTTTCAACTAGCCGGAACGGTCTTGGTCAAAATTAACAGACCGCAAATAGTACGCGGTATCTGGACTTATCGTTTAAAATATCGGTTTTGTTAACCTTGGAAATTATTTGGACGAAGATGACTATCAAATTATTCCCATACAACTCATTATATCCACAGTCGCTAAAGAAAAATGATGTTCAATGAATAACAACGGCCGATTTAAAGGCCCTGCCCAAGGAATATGTTAAAACAGCAAATTATAACTTATCAACGCTGATCGTTTTTCACGTTCTCACGCGATATCGTTAAAAATCGTTTAAACCACAGCAGATTAAAACTCAAAAGTGTTAAGATGTCTGTGGGCACTCGTTCGCGGAATCTAACCTTTGAGCAATGCACATCCAACGATCGTTTGAACAGCGTCACTTAGGTCGTCTCCTAGCCATGTCAGCAAGTGTAGCCAGCCAAATGTGTTTATTGTCTGTCGGGCTCTAATCAGGGACCGAAAGGCTCCAACTGAGACCAACTTCGAATCAAAGGCGTTCATTCCTCTTGACCAAGTCGTCGCTTTGCCAAATCTCCTCTTCTTCTATCCATACCTCGTGTGCGAAAACGACGCACGTCGCGGGATTTGGTGTGTTGGTATGCGCAACAGGTGGCTCAGCCATCGGAGTCTGGTGTGTGAAATAGTAGTGCTGAGCGCTTCATTTCCTTTTCCTGTGCCATTAACAAGGCGTCGAACGCGCTCACTGCTCACACGTTGTTTCCACCAGATAAGAGCCAAACTGCGAAGGCAACGATGGTCGAACGTAACTAACCTCTTTATGTCTGCCGATGTAACGGTCCTGATTTCACAACCGTACAGCAGCGTCAAACGTACGGCTGCCTTGTAAACTCTGCTCTTCAGGGCGGGAGTAATTTCGCGCCGGCACCATAAGTGGCGAAGAGTAGCAAAAGCGGCCTAAGCTTTTACTATACGGTTTGTGACCCCTTCGATTCCACAGGCGCGGATACAACTGCCCAGGCAGTTGAATTTTCGATTAACTTCTAGTTAATCCACACCAAAGTTCAGCGCAGGAGGCAGTCTCTGCCAAACTTGCAGGAAGGCTTTACACTTCGAGGGTGCAAAGCAAAGCCCGAACCGACTGACAGCCAGCGCTAGTCTGTCCAGTGCTGCTTGGCCTGTTTGTGAGCTGTCATAAATGAGGGCAATATCCTCCGCAGTCTAGCCTGAGTAACGTGGCATCGGTAACTAGCACTGATGTATACCGCTTATGCCTGTTACCTGTTTGTAATACTTGCACTGGCGTCTATGGTCCCACATCCTTTGCGGGTTAATCAACCACCACGATTTACTCATCTTCAGGAGTGTGCTGGAGACTAGCGATTCGTTCGTGGTCCTGCAACGACATTTTTCACTTTCAATATGCAAGTTGCATACTACCAACGTTTGAAACCATTTCAGTGGTTAACTGTACTACCTCGCGACTGTCAAACCTCATGGCGATATCGTCTACATAAGCTAATCAGTCAATTATTCCCCAGATAGTATCGAAATGATCTACAGGCAAATACTCTATGATAGATCCCACAGTAAAATTGAATGAAAAGTTTCTTAACCCCTATGAGAGCGCTACTTGTTGTCCTAAAGGGATCTAGCACTTAACCGTAGTCCCCGAAATAAGGTGTTCTGCTGAATGGTCTATATGCAAAACCTCCGCAAAATGAACCTAAACTATCTTTCAGACATTTTTCCAGCCCTGTGTGCCGAATAGAACGGAGCGCTGGATTGAGTCGAACACTAGTGAAATCGGGTTGGATGTCTACAGTCGGCCTGCGCTACATCATGTGTCACTACTTTAGCACTTCTCGCTGAGTGACTTCATTGTATGCATACTCTCCCATTGCAGTCCGGGATTCTCGTTACGCAAAGGGTCGGTAGACGACAGCGGAGGTTAATATCTTTGTCACGTAAAGGCGTCAAGCGGATACCTTTATGATTAGTACAAACGGCCCAATTACCTTTTCTGTATAATATTACTATGCTCAGTACACTCCATGTAACTGCGGCGATTCGGTGGTTTTGAGATAAGGATTCCGGCTAACATCCCAGAGGCTTCCAATGCCTGCTATCGCTACTTCATGAAACCGAACAATTTCGCAGGTTTTCATGGAGCGCAGCGTTTTCGGGCTGACAACACCCAATATCCATTCTCCTTTCTTTCTGCCTACATAGTTGAGTCCTCTACATCGTAGTACCAGGTCTGCTCGTGGTGCGCTGCATCATATCATTCTCCATTATCATCTGTTGATTCGCGACACCCAGTAGCTCGTGCGACGCCTCACTGTCACGCGATCAGGCTTAGTCACGTGCAGGCTAGCGATGTTGCGAGGACATCAGCACCCACATAGGCTGGTACCGGCCGGGCGCTTGCACTATTCGACTGCTATTCTCGTGGAACTTGTGCGCCCGATTTGTACTTCTCAAATATAGGAAAGCTGGACCATTCAAGCCACACTGGTTTGACAAGGAGTATGACAAACTGGCTATAAAATAAATTCGTGCAGTCTGGCTCTGTGGAAGATCACGAGGCTTTCAAGAGGCAAATGTCTGCAACAGCACGAAAACGAGCAAACACCGATCCTTCGATGAGCAGATTGCAACCGCAGCAAACATAGCTCCCAAGATGATCTTCGCATAAGTGAAGCGGCGCCTGAAGACGACAGGTGCTTTGCCTGTGGACGGCTCGGACGGACAACCCCTAGTTTCCGGTACTGAGCGTGCTTCCGCATTGGCGGCGCATTTCTCTTCCGTTTTAGAAGATAACCAGGCATCCGTCCCGAGTTTGACGCATATCGCCCCTACTGAGTTAGACAGCCTGGATTGCAGCATTGAGGATGTGCGCAAATTGCTCGCCAGTTTTGACGGTATCAAACTTACGGGGCCTGGTGGGCTCCATCCACTGATCCTCAAATCGCTATCGGCAATCATCTTGCCTTCAGTGACTGAGCTATTCCACAGGTCGCTGTCAGCCGGTTTAATCCCGAGGGACTGGAAATGCTCACTGATGAAACCGATTCCGGAAGACGGCGATCCGAGCAAGATGGATAACTACCGGCTGATATGCTTAACCTCTATTTTGGTTAAGACACTCGAGAAGATCGTGAAGCGTGGTCTTCTGCGACATCTCGAGTCGTAAAGCATCTTGATGCCCGCGCATCACGGTTTCATGAAAGGTTGGTCATGCATCATAAAGCTGCCGCTCTCGACGCACCAATGGTTGTAGGCGCTAAGCCAAGAGAAGTCGTTGATGTCATTTACATCGACTTCAGTTAGAGCGCTTAAGTGCACCATGGGATCCTCCTACGGAAGCTGAAGATGTGCGGTGTTGGTGGTTCACTGTACCAGTGGAGCAGTGACTTGCTCATTGGTCGGACGTGAAGGGTGCAGGTGGACAACCACTTGACCGAGTGGTATCCGTCGACCAGTGGCATGCCGCAGGGCACAGCCCTTGGGCCCATTTTGTTCCTGGTCCACATTAACGATTTACCTCAGCTTCTCAGTTCACCTTGCGCGTTGTTTGCACATGACCTTAAGGTATGGATGATAATCAGACGCCCGACGACTGCGACCTGCTTCAGCGTGACTCTGACCGCCTCTGTGGTCAACAAATGTCAACCTTCCGATCAACCCAGTCGAGTCGGTATTCATGAACCTGAGCAAAGGTGATAATGGCCAAGTCGATAATCTTGCCGGCCAACAGTTACACACATGGCCATCCGTGAAAGATCTCGGCATGCTCTCACGCTGCGATTTGAAATCCGTTGCAAACGGGAACAGGCTTTACCAAAACGGAACACGCATGCTCTGGGCACTCAAACACAGCTTCTGCATTGGGTCCGAAGAGGTTGCCTCCCACCTCTTCTATTATCAGACCAATGCTAGAGTGTCATTCATCCGCCTACTTTCTGCTCAACCGGGGCGAGGTGCAAAGGGTTGAGCAGGTACAGCCTGTGGCCACAAGGCTCATCCTCGTCTTGCGAGTTGTGCCATATGAAGACCAGAGCAAGAGACTGGTGTTGTGTACCTTGTCTTATCGTCGAATGCAGGCTGATCTCATCATGACACACAGAATATTACATCTGGGTGATCACCCTATGTTGAGGCCGCTGCGCACACCAAACAACACCCGAGGACACCGGTACAAGCTTGTCGTACCGTAGTTGAAGTTGGTCGCTCACCAACTCTGCTTCGAGCAGAGGATGGTTAATACTTGAAACAACCTGCCTACGCATATAATCGAAGCAAACTCGGTGTCTGAGTTTAAGAAACTCCTGGACTCGCATTTTGCCGATTTGAGATTTCAAGAATAAGCATCATCATAATAGGTGGATTTGCTTAAAAGATATTACATGTAGCTGCACAGAGACAACTCTACTCGTTACATATTCTCAGCATTCAGTATCCACGTGTCTACTTTAGACGCAGTCGTAACGCAGCAAACAACTTTCATATGCAGGCTTTGTTTTTGCTGTTTCTCCGTCCTCCAAACCATCTTATCTTGTGCATAGTCATTATCACTCTCCATTATCAAGTTACATGTTGTCATTGCGTTTATCTTTGTCTCTCCTCATGCCATCTACCATGAAACAGCTCCTTTTAGCCCGTGGCGCCGATCGGAACGCTCGGGACAGGAATTGGCAAACACCACTACACGTTGCTGCATCAAACGGCAGTCTGGAGTGTGTGCAGCTTTTGTTGGTTCCCTCCGATCCCATAACGACCAATGTGAACGCCTCAGATCGAACGGGACATTCCGCTTTGCACCATGCGGTATGCGGCGGTCATCTTGAGGTTAGTGAGCTGGTATCGGATATTCGTTTGTAGTAGAAAGTTTGCTTGAATAGTTGGACGATGCTGCTCTTTTACAGTCTGAATCACATTCAACGGATTATCTACTGGAAAGCTCAGCCAGCGTTAATGCGCGGATCATCTGCTTAACTGATATGCGTTGAAGATCCTAAGTATCTTGCTTGGATCTTTCGTTCACAGATGCCGCGTAGACTCATACGGCCGCATCAGCTTGCCTGTTGCATCTAAATTACGCACACTGACTTAACCCCATGTCCTATGCTTGTTTACTCCCTGCATTCGCTTGGACTAATAGCCGTTGCTGCACTTACCTCATTGAATCTTCAGACGGGCCGGTTGGTGTCACGGAAGTCGGGTATGTGCCTGCTGTCTTCCGGATTACGGGCTGTGAGCACTGCCCCGCTTACCGCATCCACAAACTTTCTTTGCACTCTCAAATCTAGTACTTTGATATATATATATATATATATATATATATATATATATATATATATGTTATAATTGGGTCGCCACTGTTATGGATTGGGTAGCGTAGATTGCCTTAGTCGTCGCCGCTGTTATAATTGAGGGAACGCCGCCTCTCGATATGGATTGCGTAACACCTGATAAGATTGTCGCTGGCCCGATTGGAGCACGCCTACGATAATTGCTTGTAACGCTGGCCAATCGAACGGAGTTGCGCTGACCTGATGACGCTAGCTTAGCCGGGTGAGACGGAAAATTGAGCGAGCGTGTGACCGATCTTAGCCGCAAGTGTTCGGATAGACGCTGACCCCTCGGAACGGGCGCACACGAGAGGGGGTACGATAGACGCGCGCTAATGACTTAGACGCGAAGGCTGGCCAGCTAACGACTCGCACGCAATCACGCGACCCGACCGACTCCCAACTGAGGCGAAGAGAAAGAAAAGACAAGTGGTCCTCTGTAGGCTCTTTTACGACCAACAAAGGGCAAGGGCAGCCAGTGCTATGTGTTATTAAGTTAGGGAAAAAGTCACCACGCAGAGGTGGTAGTTTGCAATTGACCATTGTCAAAAGGTTCGCAGTTGGGACGCTCCTCGGAGTGGCTGAACACTGCTGCGTTGTGGGGAGAAATTGAACTCCGCTTCCCACAGCCATTATGCCGGAGTTACTGGCGGGTTTTTTGCGGGGATTTTTGACGGGCCCGCAACACCTCCCTTTGAAGAGAGAGCGTACCGCTTCTGGCGAGGATTGACCTGGAGGGATTTCGGTGACCTCCGGATTCTTCCTGTTCGTTGGCAAGGTGGGTTCTCGAGATGCGGCGGCGACTGAGCGGCTTCGACCGTGGTCTGTCGTTGTGTGGCCAATCCGAAAGTATCCAACAGGATGTGCAGCGGCAGGCGCACGGGATAGCTGGCTGGCATGGAGGTTTCTTCGTGGCGCGGACGAAGTTGATTGCGATGGCGAACCCAGATGTCATTACCAACGGAGACATCATGCAGCATGTCACCTCGCCTGGCCGTCACTGTTGCTTTGATCCAGCGAGGATGACCTGCTCGGTAATCACGAGCGTAGACCGGAGCTCCGACGGCAAATTCTTTGTGTTTGTTGCAGGGACCAGAGTGAATAGGTGGTTTCTCAGTCGGAATGAGCGCTTCGTTGGTTGTGCGTAGCTTGCGGCCCATCAATGCTTCAGCTGGTGACTGGCCTCCTGTCGTAGCTGGATTCGGTGTGGACCGGTACGAGAGCAGGAAGGCTTGAAGACACTCATCCACGGTCCCCTCCCCGCGAGATTTCAAAAGCGCCCTCTTGAATGTGTCGACAAATCGCTCCGCTTGACCATTGGATTGGGGATGGTAAGGCGGTGAGCGGAGGTGTTCGATGCAGTGTCGGCGACAAAACTCTTCGAAGATGGAAGAGGTAAACTGGGTACCAGTGTCGGACACCAAAACCTCGGGGAGGCCATGTTGACTGAATATTCGTTGGAGACAAGCCAGAGTGGCGGATGCGGTTGGTGGGTTGACGGCGACCACTTCCGGCCATTTGGAATAGGCGTCGACCACGACCAGATAGGAAGTGCCATCGATGGGACCAGCGTAACCGATGTGCACTCGAGACCACGGTTTTGTTGGCGGATGCCAAGGAATCGGGGATTGGTGTGGTGGCATATTTGAGGCTTGTTGACAATCCTGGGACACGGGGTCGGATTGACTGGCTTCGTCGTCGGTTCGGTCGTTTGGTACTGTCGGGGAATGTACCACGTTGCAGATGGTCCGAAGAGGAAGATCGGCCAAGCCAAGGGTTTCGAGCCAGTCGAGACCAAGCACGTTGAGCTTCGCCTTTGTGATGTAGCAGATCGCGTTGAACGTGACGTCTCGGAAGGAGACGGAGCAGTGCAGCCGCCCAGTTAGCTGCACACGACCACCACAGGCGCTGGTGGCAGTTTGGGAGGTCGGTTCGAAAGGTGGCGTGCCAAGGGATCGCCAGAGATCCTCGGAGATGATTGTGATGTCCGACGCAGTGTCCAACTGCAATCGGACCGACTGACCATTGATCAAGACGTCGACGAATTTTCTCCGATCAGCAGCGTTGATTTGGAACGTGGCCAGCAGGCTCAGGGAGCTGCCAACCGGACCAGGTTTGGGTGTGCGTCTGGGTCGGGACCTCTTCTTTGGATCGCGGGTGGGGGCCAGCCCAGTTTTGGCCCCCTTGGGAGATGGAGGATGGCAGTAACCATCCCGGTGCCCCACCCTGCCACAACGTTGACAACGATGCTGGCGGAACTTGCAGTCGCGGTGGAAATGCCAGGCACCACAAAATCGGCATGCGTAGGGTGGGGACTTCGCTCGGTCGGATTGGGTGGGGCGCGCGGACGATTGCGCCCTCGGTGCTGTGACTGCCTGGACCATACCAGGTGCGGCGGCGTTCTGGATCATTGCAGAGTCGTGCTTCAAGTTGAGCAGCGTTTGACACTCCTCGGCCAGGTTTTGGAGTGTGACTGAGCTATCCTGTTGTAGCTTGGACAGGAGGCGCGTCCGGATATCGGCATCGTGTGGAGACTGGAGGCCAGAGACGAAGATCAGGCATTTGAATTGATCCTCGGTGAGCGAGCCAAGTTGAAAACGTTGGCATTCCCGGTTGACCACGCCTGCGTACGTGATGAAGTCGTCGGCATCACGTTTGGCCAGCTGCAGACATTGGTAACGAGCATTGAACAGGGAGGACTGCTCGCCAAAAATCTGTGACAACGTTCGGACCGTGTCGTCAAAGGTAACGTCCCGTGGGTTCCTCGGCAAGATGAAATTGGTGTAACGCTGGTGTTCGAGGGTACCAAGTTTGCGAAGAAGCAGCCGGACCTTCCACGCGTCGTCCTGGCAAGCCAAGTCAACGGTGAACAGGTCCTCGTACCGCTTGTACCAGGATTCGAACGTTACTCCGGCCTTGGCGTCGTACAGGAATTCGCTGATGCCGCTAACCACATGGTCCATGGACTGAGAATTGACGCTCGGACCTGCATGAAGGGAAGAACTGGAAAGTTTTTCGGTTAGCGCGGACATCAATTTAAGCTGTTGCTGCAACATCAATTTTAAATCGGCATATTCGTCAATCATGGTTCGCCAACTCTGTCGCCACTGTTATAATTGGGTCGCCACTGTTATGGATTGGGTAGCGTAGATTGCCTTAGTCGTCGCCGCTGTTATAATTGAGGGAACGCCGCCTCTCGATATGGATTGCGTAACACCTGATAAGATTGTCGCTGGCCCGGTTGGAGCACGCCTACGATGACGACTTGTAACGTTGGCCAATCGAACGGAGTTGCGCTGACCTGATGACGCTAGCTTAGCCGGGTGAGACGGAAAATTGAGCGAGCGTGTGACCGATCTTAGCCGCAAGTGTTCGGATAGACGCTGAGGCCTCGAAAACGGACGCACACGAGAGGGGGGTACGATAGACGCGCGCTAATGACTTAGACGCGAAGGCTGGCCAGCTAACGATGCACACGCAATCACGCGATCCGACCGACTCCCAACTGAGGCGAAGAGAAAGAAAAGACAAGTGGTCCTCTGTAGGCTCTTTTACGACCAACAAAGGGCAAGGGCAGCCAGTGCTATGTGTTATTAAGTTAGGGAAAAAGTCACCACGCAGAGGTGGTAGTTTGCAATTGACCATTGTCAAAAGGTTCGCAGTTGGGACGCTCCTCGGAGTGGCTGAACACTGCTGCGTTGTGGGGAGAAATTGAACTCCGCTTCCCACAGCCATTATGCCGGAGTTACTGGCGGGTTTTTTGCGGGGATTTTTGACGGGCCCGCAACAATATATATCTCAGTTATTCTATCTCGTTTGTCATTTTTACCGATCCCTTCCAGATTGATTATTTATTTTCATATCAAGCTCCTCTACATCGTGATTCTTATTGCTGCACCACGCAGATGTAGTCGGCTTGATCTATTGAATTTCCATACTTATGCGACGGTTGTTTACCAGCGTCGAACTGAGTCTACCCCTTGCGTGACAGCGATTCCATCAGCTCTACTGGGTTCTCAACTCTCAAGCGTTTCGTACCATCACCGACATAATTATTCCTTTGTGTTCGTTCTTATTTAGAAATAATGCAATTTACCGCTCATCGTAGCCGATTGTGCATACCACTGTCTCTTGACGCTGTCGTTTTTGACCGTGGCCGGCCCTAACTACTTTCTGCTGATGTTGCTCTCGTGCCAGTTGCTTTAACATATTTATCTACTAGGTTTACTATCCTTGTCGGTAATGACTGTTACGCATGCCTTTTGTCACTTACCTGGTGGCGGTGTGCTCTATATACCAGGGAATTTCATTAGCATTCTAGTTTTGAGTTAGTAAAGACACCCATAACACCCGTTCTTTTTGTGAGGCTTATCTGAACCCTACCTCTTATTGATTGCTCAGGCTGCTTGTGGGACCTAACCCCTTAAATCAAGCGCTTCCGCTTGGCTTTGAAGTTATTCGCTAGCCAGGGTGTTCACAAATTTCTTCGTTTCCAGCAGGCACACTACTTGAGGGACGATCAGGTTCACGTGTGTTTGTCATCACGTGACCTTGAACCGTAAGAGACCATAATTTCACGCTCTGCATTATCGTCATTTCCTATGTCAAGTGCACTTGCTTCCACGCTCTACGTTGCTTACACTCATTTTGAGGCCACTCGGTTAATGCATTTCGGCGACCTTCGGCACTTATTTTTTATCTGGATAATTTTTGAGATGCTTGTGCTTCTGCTACTCTTGTTGTTCTAATTCCTTTACCTCCTTTCTTCTTCACACTTTCGCTTCATACAGATCAGCATCCTCATCAGCTGCCTCACTGGTATTAGCTTCACTAAATATGTTTCGCTTATAACACCACTGCTATAATCTTCAACCGCTTCCGTCATTTACATTTTTCTCCAAGTTTTCTTGTGCGTCGTCTCTCTCTCTGCCACGGTTTTTGTCCAAAAGTCACCCACACTGTTTGATGCCCGAAACGCAATCATACGGCCATTTAGTTTGACGGTGTTATCATGTAATCAATGATGGTTATTCTCACCTGTTATCCGCCTTCTGTTGCATCTTTTGGTTCTTTTCTGTCTCATCTTCCGCCTGACGAACAGGGTGCAGAATTCTGGAATGAATTGCCATTACTGCGGATTCTTGATGTTTTTGATACAAAGGACTCCTATAGCTATTAAACCTTGCTGTGACGACTTAGCCTCCGTCGGAGTCGATCATGCAGGAATCCACGTTGCTTACTTCTGTTACACGAGCCTCATTTTGGGATCATTGATGTTTCTTTCTACTTGCTTTTTTCTCCCTTATTTCGCTAGGTTGTTCGGCTATTACTGCTGAAAGGTGCCTCTGTCAGCGCTTTCGATAAAAGAGATCGCAGGGCGATGCATTGGGCTGCCTCGAGTGGTCAGGTTATGGTGAGTTGCTTTCGTGCTCGCAGTTTCTGTCTGTCAACTCTATTCTTACCCGCTTTAAACCAGTACATTCGAGCATCTTCCCTCCTCTGCCTTTCCATATCAGATTGTGGAACTGCTACATGAATTTGGCGCCGAGATCAACTGTCGCGACGCTGACCTGTTCACTCCGCTTCATGTTGCTGCAGCTTTAGGCCACGCACCTGTGGTCAAATGTTTAATTGAATTGGGCGCTGAATTGGATTCACTTACTGCCCGAGTAAGCACTGACTGTACTCGTGTTCCACCTAGTCTGCACATTTCTCTCTCTCCTCATTCCCAATTGAAATGCCAAGTTAATGTGGAACATTGGCTTTCACCGGTCAGCTCTGCAGATACGCATAGTCTGGTGTGACTACCGTGATTCGTGCATCGAGGTGCCGTTAGTCCGGTTAATTTGGAGCGCATAGCAACAATGGCAGTGCTTATAATCGTTCTATATATATATATATATATATATATATATATATATATATATATATATATATATATATATATATATATATATATATGGTTGGAGGCATCCGGTTTCTGATGTGCCTGTCACTGTGGCCAGCCACAGGACGCCTGCGCCTACAGAGGGACTATGGGTGGCTTGCGCTGCACCACCCACAGCTCCAACCACACACCCCATATCCAGTTTAAACCCGAGGGAACAAGACCGGGAGGCATGTGGATGGGAGCCACGTTTCATCAACGGAGCCGGCCCACACTCCTTCACAGGCAAACACAAGCACGCTGTAGTTGGGGAATCAAGCGCACACAAGGCGGTGGCTGGACCGTAGTCCGCTCCACACTGAGTACATGCAACCACTTTGATCCTAACACGGCCACAAGGACCGTGCACCCCGTCCCCTCTAGCAACGACCAACTGTCTCCTAGAGCCAGTATGGACGAGGTAGTGGGTAATAGACAGGTAGGCACCTTGTCAACATGCACATCAAGCGCAGCCACACCGGGGATATCAAGCAACAGCCAATCACTTGAGAGAAAGCTAACAAGTAATGCATAAGGAAACGTGACAAAAATCTTAAATTAATGAGCATATGAAATAAGCTGTTTACAAAGGATCCGAGATAAGTTCAGGAGGTCAGAAACTATATTTTACAGAAATGCCACAAACACCAAAATGTTATCGAAATTAACTACAATTGGCTTAAGCAAGTTGTGCAGGTTTATAGGATAGCGTACAGGTGGACATTTATTTGAGAAAGAAAAGCGTTAAGACAAAATTGAAAACCCACCACCTGAAATAAAGAGACTTAGCTTGCAAGCACGCGGTTAGTAAATTGAATGCAGCGTACCTACAAACGCTGCGCTGGTTCTGGCTACGTTCTCTGCAGGACCCGTCGTCGCTTCGGTAGTGGTCCCGAGTGGCCTCGCTCATGGCTCACTAAGCTTGCTTGACTCAGGCACTTGCGACCGCATGTGCTAAAGCACCATGCGCTTGATGTCGTTGGAGTACAACCCATCGGTGCTTGCCGCTTCCGCACTTGCCGCTTCTTCTCTGCATGCATGAGGGCTTTCTCCCGCACTTCAGCAACTGCCTTCGTGATTAGATCGCGCCATGCACACCGATCAAACGCCTTCGATTCCCATGATCTGCAATCAAGATTAGAACGTGAGAGGCTCACTTTAATCATGTCCTGGTAACGTAACTTTGGTTTCCCCACGTGCCGCTTCCCAATACTCAGCTGACCGTATAAGAGTTGCTTCGGTATCCGCGTCGAATCCACCCGCCACACATGACCGATCCACCTCAAGTGTCTCAGCAAAAGTATGCAGTCCACTGCGTACGTTCCACTTTGTCGCAACACTTCCGTGTCTGCAACTCTGTCGCCCCAGCCGATCCGCAAAATTCGTCGCAGACACTGCTGATGGAACCGCTCGAGATATCGCACATCCCGACGGTACATCGTCCACGTTTCACTGCCGTATAGAAGAACGGACAGTACCATGGATTTGAACACCATCAGCTTCGTGCCAATGCTAAGCTGATGGTTGTTTCACACTCGGTACTCTAGCTTCCCGAATGCCGCTGCCTTCGACACGCGGATATGAAGCTCACTGTGAATCTGCTGATCAGTCGACATTACACTCCCAAGGTAGCAAAAGCACGGGGTGATTTCCAATACTTCAGCACCAATGCCGATTCGCGGCAATATTGATGATTGCACCTCCGGTGAAGGCTGAATGAGACAGACAGTTTTGCTTGTGTTGATGGTGAGCCCCAATTTGGCCGCTGTCGAAGCCAGAGCACTGGTCATATGTCGCAACTCATCCGCGCTGTGTGAAAACAACTCACCGTCGTCAGCAAACAGCAACATACGGATAGTTGTCTCACAGACTAGAGTTCTTGCACCGAAATGGCTGATGTTCAGCAGCCCACCATCAATATATATATATATATATATATATATATATATATATATATATATATATATATATATATGCGATAGCTCATGCTGAAGTTGGTGTTACCTTAGTGATGGTGCTTCACCGCAGTTGGGCGAAACCAACCTATACTTAATCTATGTCTTTTTAATCTGGATAAAAGTCTTTCCTCTTTCTTGATTTTTTAATTCTGTTACCCTGCGGCATATTCTGTGTCAATTTTGCGTGTTTGCTTTCCCTCACATTCTGTGTTGCTATGATATCCCAGGTATCGCTGCGTTTTATGTGAATGTTGACAAGGTGCCTACCTATCCAACACTCTCTACCTCCATTTCAGGCTCCAGGAGAATGTGATTCGTTGCTGGGGAGCGGTGGGATGCACGGTCCTTGTGGCCGTTCTAAGCTCACAGTGTGGTTCGGTCCAGTGTGGAGCGAAGTGCGACCCAGCCATCGCTTTGTGTACGTCTGGTACGCATGATTTCTAATTTAGGTATACAGGAGTGCTGCTACTGTGCATGTTGAAGGAGTGTGGGCCGGCTCCGTTGATGAAACGTGGCTACTATCCGCACGCATCTCTGTCTTATTCCTTCGGGTTTACACTGGATATGGTGTATATGGATGGAGCTATGGGTGCTGCAGCCCAGACCACGCATGGTTCCCTTGTAGGCGCAGACGTCCTGTGGCTGTCCCCATGGATACCACATTGTCAGGAAATGCGGAAGCGGATGCCGCCAACTATATATATATATACAGCAGTCTGGTGTTTAGCTATGGAACCATTGTAAACCATGGAAGTCAGGGCAGGATACTGTTTGGGAAAAGAGGAAACCTAGCACAATATAGTGCCATTTATGTTTTCTCTGGAGGGCATGAAGTCACTGATGGCCTAAGTCGAATTAGCGAGTTGTCTTAGGGGATACCATCCCCAGACTATGGCTGAATAGCCTACCCACCAGGCAGCAGAGCGAAGTCATAGGGCTGTTTTCATTAGCAGCTGGTAGCCAATTTCTCAATTCATACGCCTTTGGTTTGGTGAATTGCCAAACGAACCTCCAGGGCATTACGGGGGATGTCAACATCCATTCACTGACTACAGTGCTCCACTGAGATAAGCAAAGGCAGTAACTTAAGTTAGTGGCTAGCCAAATCCACCATATCAGAGCATTATTTAGTTGATATTGCGGATTTTTATAGCGAGAGCGCTTTCCAATCAAAAGTGCAGCGCCTACTTAAACACTGACACCGAACAGTTTGTTGGAACGGGATAAACCCCAACTACCCTACAGGCACCACGACGATATAGTTCAACAGGCCATCAATGCTTCGAGAGGAATTTGAAGGAGCTCAGTATCTATGCAAACACTACTTGATAGACAGGCGGGTAGCGCTGCGCACTTCGGCATGTGCTTTTCACCTTCAAAGTACAAAGTACTGTTGTAAGGCTGGACCAGTGCGCCAGCGGTTGTGACTACTAGTGATCAACAACTGGAAGTGGTGGATCAGTTCATTCACCTTGCTGGCTGTGTCACCTCTGGTGGTCACATCACTGAGGAAGTTACTTCGCGTATCGGCGTAGCCCGTGTGGCTTTCCATAATATCAACCATCTATGGAGGTGGGATATCAGCGTGTCAGTGTAGGGTAGGGTGTATAACGCTGAAGTAAGATCGGTCTTGTTGTATGGATCAGAGACCTGGCCATTTCACGGCGAATATATTACACGCTTGGCCGTGTTTGACTAACGGTGTTTGCGGAGTAATGCTCACTTCTGGTGGGAACACCAGGTGAGCAATGCTGAGATCCGCCAGTTTACTTTTATCAAATAGCGTTCTGGTGCATCTCTCAAGTGTTTGCGGAATTTTATTCGTTTGCCTTGGCTAGGCTATGTCCTCCGTATGCCCGTTGACCGGCTTCCTCGACGTGCATTATACCCCATGGCTGCACCAAGTTGGGTGAAACCGCGAGGTGGCCAGTCCATGACGTGGCGTAGTGCAGTGACGAAATTAACTGAGGGACTTGGTCAGGCTGGTGCATGCCCTCTTCGTGTATGGGGGCCTCGGGATTGTCCACACCAATGGTTGGAGACCGTATTAGGCATGACGCAGTTGTTGACGTTCGTACGTTCGGTTTCTTGCATCTAGTTGCTAATTTTTGTTCCATTCTGATCATACTAGCGCATAGCCTTGGCTTCATTTTCTCTACATTTCATTTGCATTCGACCCACTACCTTACCGTTGTTATTCATCGTTTTTCTTGCGATCTGAGTTGTGGCAACTGGGCCCACCGCACTTCGGTACTCGGATCATAGATGCTCAACTGAAGTGAACTGAATGCGAAAGAACTAATCTACTCAGATGGAATAGTTAAGAGTTGGAATGAGCAAACGAATTCGGGAGCACCGCGGACAGTGTGATTCTGTCATCTGTATGGCCCGTCCCGTGTGTCCCATCCAAGAAGACGACGCACCAACCATCCTTAACCTTCTGGTGACCTTACTCACGCTCATTGTGGCTATCCTTCATTGGCCATCTCTAGGTTTCACCCAACTAGGCACAGGATCGCACACGATATGCACCAAAACATTCGATCCTAGAGTGTGCGGTGCATGTGATCGACTTATTGAGATGGATTCGACTTCGACGGGCGCTTCTGGCGGATTAAGAAATTAACCTTTGTCGTCTTTTTTATGTTCCATGAAAGAGTCTTCAAAGTCTATTTTCTCTCCAGCCTTAGACGCCTGGAGGTAACAGTGAAAGAAAGTGTATCAGCAATAAGGCCATGTTGTGTAATAGTTCCTCCTGTCATGCAGTCCCAAGCGGTTTCACGCCAGTTGGGGCCCTTAGACCTTGTCAGCAGAAGGAACTCGAACTTGGAAGCTCGCAGACTTTACAAGTCGATCTCCTAATCCATTACAGCATGTTTTACTCGGAAGTCTGAGTATTTGAAATATTTCTTCGGTGCCGATCACTTTGAGTGAAAACCGAACATGACGCTCTTGTATACCTATACCCCGGATGTTCATTGTGTGATGGTTACTGGTCTCTTGGGTGAGCGGACTCTATACGGCCTAGACAGAGCTGGGGGCGATCAATCGCTACCGACGCGAACTGATCGGAGTCAAAGCCGAATTGGATGGTCTAGAGCGAACAAAGTGCAGCTCGGTCATTAATACCTTTGCGGTGGATTGACTCTGACAATCGCACGCGAGTAGAACGTGTACGCCATCGAACCCAGACACAATGCAGGATGCGATAGCGGCCGGTCCATGAGCAACTAATGAAAAGAAACGATTCAAGTGCAGCTTACACGGGTTGACCATACTCACCCATACCGGTGCGGCCAACCATGAGTCAACTTCAACATATCCTCAGAGTGAGAGCAGGAACGGGTTAGACCAAGCACAGCAATTGCGCAGCGCTTGCAAGCCAGTTGACATGTACTGACGGTATAAGGAGTGGAAATGCGAAATGAACAGTAAGAAACTGTCATATTTGAATAGCGTAGTAAACTTCTGTACAGAACAAACGATTCCGGGCTTTAGAATAATGGATTTTTATCTCTACCAAGACTCAGACTCGAATCTCGGGGGGGGGGGGACGCTTGACAGTTGGCACCTAAGTTACATTTGAACATGTGTCCTACGATTCACCATCGGTCTTAATCTCTGGTCTTTGAAATGCAAAAGGCCAGTATTATTGTGGTCGGCAAAGTTTCCTTCCAGCGTAGTACAGTCTCGGCGGTCGTCTCCGACCACTCCGTTTGCTCTGCTTTTCTCATAAATGGTAGAAACACGGCTACTCACTTAGTGTTGGAAAACGGACTCTCTGTTGTTCCATTGAATCATCTGCCAAACCTGAACCTCTCCTGTCGACCCCCTGCTCTTGAGTATGCTGTCTACATGTGTTGAATCTAGTAGGATGAAGCCGCGTTGTGGCCAACTGATGACATTACGGAGGAACGAAGCGAATCCGCGAAGGACTTGTTCTTTGAAGAATATATCCGACTTGACTTTATCGAAACATCGGTAGCACTCTTGCGTTCTTCCCGTTGCTTCTCTAACTCTGGAATCCTTTAGACGACGTTTGTAGTTTTTCCCCAGTTTCTTTGTTGTTATTAACATGGGACAGTGGGTGTCATGCTAGCCCTACCAAACTTGAACGGTGGCGGACTGGGTCAGGTTTTTGTCTTGCAGTTCACGAGTCATCGCGGTTCTAGTCTGCATCAATACGGTGGGTGGGGGAGACCTTGCAGTACCCCAGCTCACATGTCGCCGCTTATGGTTGCGATGTATCGAGTTTCCGGCACAGTGATTCGGTGTACTGCTGATGTCTTCGGCTTCACCATACTGCGGCGACCCATTGATCCTCAACTGAAGTGGATCATTAATAACCAGCCCGGTTTCCGCACATGTAGCGGATGCATCGATCACATTTTCACTCTCCGTCGGATGGATTGGATGGCACTGTACAAAGAATCTATCTTGGCTTGACGGCTACCTTTGAATAGGTTGATCATACATGCCTAAATGTCAATGCTCAGCTCGGAAGAATGTGCTCTAGAAGCTTCCCCAATTGCCGTGTGAATGTCTACGGGAAACTCTTCCCTGGGTTCCTCACGATAACTGGAGTACGTCAGGTTGCCCTATCTATCCCTTGCTCTTCGACTTTGTGACTCCATATCGCATTTTTCCACTTCTGGAGTGGAGGTTTTAGTAAATGATCAACTGTCAAACTCTTTGTATCCTACCTGGCCGTTTTGAAAGCGCTACTAAGTATGCTGATGCACAGTGCTGAACGCTTTGGCATGTGTTTTTCATCTTCAAGGTGTAAGATACTGTTGTAGGTCAAGGCCGATGCACAGTCATGGAACAACCGTCCGAGCTGTTCAGTCGGTTTACTTCCCTGGATAGCTGTATCATCTCTGGTCGTTGCATCATCGATGAGATGATTGCACACATCACTATGTTTCGTGCAGCTTTTCAAAGTATCACTCACTAGTGGCGACGATGGGATATAAGCCTAGTAGTTAATAGCATACTTTACGGGTCAGAGACCTAATCACTATATGCTTAAAAAAACTATGGGACTGACCAACGATGGTTACTTGGTGTTGCTCATGTTTTGTGGGATAACCGAATGGGTAACTGCAGTTTGCCATCTGAATTTTAGCAATATACCCTCTGGTGCCTCATTGTTGGCTCAACGTAGTAATCCCTTGATACGTGTGTATGTATCATTCTTCTACACCACGCCCAGCCTGGTGGAATCCCGAAATGATCCGTCTGTGACAGTGTAGATGCATTAGGAAACTCACCAACAGGCTGAGTCAGTTTGGTACTCGTCGTCTTCCCGGATGGAAACCTCATCCACTACCTGATCTATTGGATAGCCGCAATCGCACTCTTGAATTCGCTGCCTTATTTTTGGCCCATCACCTTTCCACCTGATGTTATTATTTGCCTATTCCTCTCGCATTACAATTCTTATTACTGCGAATTTTAGCGACCATATCCACTGCACCTCGGTGCACGGCTCACGGTTGGAAAATTGAGCTGAGCGGGAGTCACATCTCAATATTCGGATACAAATCAACCATCTGAGTTAAACAGATACTGTATTCTACCTGAATGGCTCCTACCCTTGTCTAGCGCATCTTCAGCTTGTGTTTCCCAACAAGCACTATTCCGGCTTTGCATGTCTTCTTTCTCATCTTCTTTGCAGGGCAACACTCCACTTCACATTGCTTGTCTCAATGGTCAGGATGAGGTTGTAGAACTCTTGTTGGAACACATTGGGAAAGCAGCCGTTCACAGTTCTTGCGCTATCGGTCATGTGTCTGCGGTAGCTGATGGGGATATTGCAACCGCAACTAAAGCAAATGAATCACTGGATCAAGGCACCATCAAGGCGAATGCGATTGCGGCCGCAGTGAATAAAGCCAGCACAATGGACCAGCTTACTCCAATTCACTTGGCTGTACTCACTTCCAACGGGGCCCAATGCCTGATATCGTTGCTGAATGCGTGTTCAGCACAGTCTGCAGTAGCAGGTGACAATTGTGAACCCGTCGAGTCGACGCTACACACTCTGGCAATTGTCGATGCTCCTGGCGGTGAGAACGGCAGCCACCCCATCCATCTCGCCGCACTGCACGGCAGGTGAGTTTCGGACTTACTGCGTCCCCTTTGCTTCGGCCCTCGGTTGGCTGCACACTTTTTTACATGCACTTATCATTCTAATCATGAGAACAAGCACACAGGGTGCCGACATTTGCAAAGAGCACACGGGCGGTGGCGGTCTACTCTGCTTCAACCATTACTCCACACACATTTTCCACATGATCAGTATGTGCACCCTAAACAATGGAGCTGGGAGTCACGCGAATCGAAGCGACGATTGATTTTGGGGCCAGTTCACACCCCACGCGTTTTTCTCTTGCGTGGATGACTTCACGTGACAGTACTCTTCAGGTTCATGCCAATACACCTAGTTTGTCCTCCTGACAATCGTTGTTCTCCTTCTCGCGTGAATATTTCGCTCTCAAGGGGTTCACCACATCCGGTTTTTGTAGATCGCCTCCTCCTTAACACTATGTTATGTTTGCCTTTCTATCCCACATTCTGCCCTTGGGAAACCTATCATCAAAACTGCGGAAGATAAGCGGATATCTACGGATTAATTATTTCGAGCGGCATCACCTCACGACCGATGCCCCCGTCTTCAGCTGGAGATGATAATATTGTAACTCGAACCCGAGACGTTGGGGGTGTCATTCAAATTTCCAATCCTAAGCCACTAAGTAGCCAAGGGCACCGCTTGTCACATTGGTCAATGACTGATTGTAATAGCTATGCAAGCACTACTGGATAGACTGGTAAGTAGCGCCGCTGCATGCTTCCGCATGTGCTTTGCACCTTCAGACTGCAATTTACTGTTGCACGATATGACCGGTACGCCACCGCTTCTGGCTACTAGCGATCAACCACTGGAAGTGGTGGATCGGTTCACTACCTTGGTAACTGTATCACCTCTGATGGTCACATCACTGAAGAGGTTACATCGCGTATCAGCAATACCCCTGTGACTTTCCAGAGGCTCAACCGTCTATGGAGACGACGGGATGTCAGCTTGTCATTGTGTTTCGGTATATCACACTGCGATAAGGTTCAGAAACCTGGTCAGATCGCAGTGAAAGCACTATAGATTGGTCGGGTTTGATCACCGATGTTTGCGGAATAATGCTCACACCTGCCACTTGGTTTTTCACAAGAGCTTTTCTGGTGCCTCACTTGGGTGTGTGCTGCATCTTGCCCACTTGCTGTGGAAACGTCCTGTGCTCCAGTTGCCAGTTAACCGGCTTCTTTGATGTTCATTATGCCCCGTGGCTGCACCAATTTGGATGAAAGCGCAAGGCGGCTGGCTGATTGCGTGGCATAAAGGCACGAAGAAGCTAACTTATAGACTTGGTTAGGCTGGTGCGGATGATCTTGGTGGATGGGAGCCTCTGGATGATCTCCACCAATGGTTGCAAACCGTAGCAGACATGACACCATCACGCAGTCAGTGGCGTTCCTGTATTCGGTGTCTTGCATCCGATTGTTAATTCTCGATCCCTCCTGATTAGTTTGACGCATTTCTTTCTTGATTTCATTTTCCTTGTACTCGACCCTTCTATGTTGCCGTTGTTGTCTATTGTTATTCGGGCGACGTGAATCGTGGCAACTGAATCCAATAAAGTTTTTGAGGGTCTAAGATTCTCACACTCCTTCGGGTGAAAGTTTCTACCTCTTGGTCTTGATTAGTAAGCTCGATGGGACAGTACTTTCAGATATTTTTATCAGTTGGACGATCTTCTTCGATTCAATGCGGCGCCCAAATGTTTAACTTCTCGTGTTCTCTCAGCAAAAACCCGGTTTTATCGCGGCTCGGGGAATAGCAGCAAAAACGAGCTTTAATGTTTTCGGCTTATGAAAACACGAATACGAGCTAGTTAGTTGGAAGCAATAGCTGGAACCAAGAGTACCTGTCACTTTGACTTAATACCTATTTGTTATAGCGCGTCCTGACCGAACGCATCACCTATGGTTACTTGGAAATGCCAGCTGTTGATTAGAGCAGTCAAATGATACTGGCGCGAGAGAATGTAATGACAGATTTGGAAAAGGAAGATTTCGTCAACCGTTCGTCTCAATACGCGCTTACATGTTTGATTCTATAAGACGACATGCCCGAGTAGAATGCGAATAAACAGCGATATCATCCGCTTCTGTCATAGTAACATAGGTATTGGATAACAGGCAGTGTCCACAGAATGGCCGATTAAGGGAGACATTGCGATTATGATCAAAGGGGAGCATCAAGCCGAACGACAATCTCAGGGTTCCAATCATCCTGCCATCCATTGCACCGTCTTGATCCACGAAGTGCTGTTGCGCTCGACCTCTTGCTCCTGTCCGACGAAACGAGCTTTCTTCCATCCAGTTTAGTTCAGCTGTTTGTTTTCTCGCTTCCTCCCCTTTGTTTCCAATTTTTCTTAGTTTTTACCGCTACAACCAACATTGAGGTGTTTGATCGTACTGCACTTCGGTGCATTTGCCTACTTGGATTTTCGCTATCTTTTTATTCAGTCCCCTTTTACGTGCCTAGCACAAACCTAAGAGAATACTACCGTTTGGAATATAGACGGGGTCGATAATTGTTTGCGGCCTGAGTAACGCTCTCTCTACAGGTGTTTGGATCATCCGATGCATCTGTGTATGAATGTTCTTACATCAAGTAATGTATAGGCTAAAAGAGTACTTTTATCCAAGATGAATTATGTGGGCATGTGATTTGCATTGGAAGTGTGTTAATGACGCTGGAAGCGTGCTTACACTCATGGGCGCACATTTTGGATCCACCTTTGCGGCTGACAAACTACCTTTGATCAATTCAACATCACTAGTTGTCAGACTTTTGATGGGAGCGGTTGATATGCACTCGTTGAAGTCTATTCAGCCATTTATACTCCAGGTCCTGCTTTCTTTCTGCCTAGCAACCCCGATCCTACTGACTTCTGCCTACGGAGATGCTGGGTGAGAATGTATGGGAGTACGCGTATCGCATCCGCCAGCGCAGCGGCTTTGGGAACGTATGATTGGGGCGTGTCTGCAATTGCATTTTGGTATAACAAGAATGACCTTGAGGGTTTGGACAGTTCCATCCAACGCACTGGTTTTTGGACCTTGCTTGATAACTCGAGCCAGCATTCCGAGAATGGACGCTGTCAGATGAATTTAACACAACCGATATTGTATAGGCATCTTATTTTGCTCCCATCTGGTCTTTAACACGTTTTATACTTTCCTTCCAAGATTCGACTGTGCGGAACTTTTACTGAAGCATGGTGCCGCATCAGACGTCCACGACCATCTGGGGGACTCACCATTACACATTGCTGCTGAACGAGGTCACGAGTCCTTCATTGTCGGTTTGTCTCGAACCGGTTGTCGTTGGGATATTCGCGATCGAAACGGAGCCACTGCCCTACATCGAGCCGCTCTATCCGGAAATCATATATGTTTGTTCAGGTACGATGTTATATTCTTTTTTTAATCCCTTACCTATCCTACACTCGCTCACCTATTCGTCCCATTTTGCGAAGTTAAACAGGTCATCGGTTATTTCAAAAAAGTTGGAGAATGTTTTAGGTTTTTGAGAGAGTTCGTTGCGGTTAGATGTGTGCTCTGAGTCTGGCTGCGAGCGGCCTACTCAAAAACCGTTCCGTGAAATACCATTCACCCGTCTATCACTATTCGCCGTCATCCCATTCTATGGACCCATTTTCTCGTTCACCACGCGCTTACATTCGGCTTATTTTTCATCATTCGTAAGTGCACCATGCAACATTTCAGTTGGATGACCTGAATTCAGTGTGGTTTGTGTATACTCATTCAGTTGCTTACATACTGTTACTGAAAACTTGGATCGAAAGGAGCTACCAAGTGATCAATATCAAGATTCAGTAGTTAACCCTGTCATGGCGCCTATCATGCATCCAACCAAGGCATTGCAAAGCTGGTCACGAGGTCAAGTTGCTTGCACAGTTTCTACTTCAGACGCCGGATGATGGAAGCCTCAGCGAACCGGAGCTGTTTCGGATTATTTTTCCTGCTATTAACATTGGCTTCTCCGTGGGTGTTTTAACACTGCGTAGTCGATCAGATGCCGGGTACTTAAGGTCGCGGGAAATTTAACACCACAAGATGTGCTCCGAAATCCGGGTCGACAACCGATATACATGCAACCGCACGTCCAGTTAAAGTGCTGAACGCAAGATACAGTAACACGGGATTGAGGCCTGTCTACATGGGATTCGTGCAGCAATTTTCTGGTTTAATGCAGCAACACGAACTCCGCTGCAAAGTAGCAACCCTTTATGGACTGGTGTAAACGATGGCATACCTATCGCTTTCCCATGCCTCCCTTTGTAGGGAAGTGTACTGAGGACCATGAGAACCTCAACCCGTATTTCTCTATTTCTCCTTCATAATTGGAACTATATTTATCTGGATAATCATTAGCAACTAAAGTGGACACGATGCTTTCTAGTCTCTTCCGAACAGACTTGCCGGATTCTCCAAACGAGCGTTTATATTTCATGGGGCAGTCGCTGTTGGATTTCGGGTACTGCTCCGTCCACTGATAGGTAAAGCATTCGCCATTCTACCTGCCGCTTTATTTTGTAAAATCACTCCGTCGCAACAAGACTGGGCCCTAACCTGGTACGATGTTTTGCATACCTCGTCGGCCCATTGAGCTATGCTGGGTTATGCCGCCGGTCCCCTTGTGACATAAACAAACAGTCTCTTGCTCCTCCAACTTGGAGGTTTGAAATGGCATAGCATCCATTTCTGTGAAAGTAAATCATTACCACCTCACCGCTGCTCTACGGACAAATTTTTGTGCCAAAGGTTTTGGTTGAGGACCATAATCCTTCTGTCTAGGTCTGGGCACAATGGAAATATCTCAGCCCACGTGCAACCATGGCTACTTTTTCATACTTCAACCATATTATGTATCGGCCGTCTTGTGGATTATCAAATGCTGCGTTATCTGCTGTATACAGCATGGTGAATAAGCTGATCCCTTCATTCTTTTCCACCTGTTTCTCTTACCCTCTCCCAACACCCATTACAAACTTTCTTTCTATGTTTGCCAGGTTACTTGACAGCAGCCGTAATGCCACTTAGTCACACCATCTTTAGCTACCTTTCCGCGCCAGCAACTGCACGTCTATCGGCAATAGTCCCTTGTAAGTTCACGCCGTACCGTTTCCCTGGCGGCGTTCAACGTACGCACCCTAAGGCAAATCGGTCGATTGCACTTGCACGCACCTCACACTGGATATTGACGTATGTTGTGTGTCCAAATCTAGGATCGATGAGTAACTACGCCTGGCTTGTCCTTTCGCTATTGCTTGCACGCATCCGGAGAGGCTGATGCGACACTCACAGGTCAAGCTGAAGTGGGCATCGTTCTCAGTTCCGAAGCTGAGTCCTCGTTGGTTCATTGGATTCCTGTGAGCAGCCGTTTGTATGCAACCCGTTTGACCACATCAGCTAAGATTGATTCACGAAGTAGTGCAAGACGCTGTTTGTTTGTGCTTTCCGCTTATGTTCCCACCGGCTGCTGTTCTGATGCTGCCAAAGATGCACTCTGCCACGAACTGAACACGCTACTACTCAGTGCTACCAGTTCAGATCCCAGAGACGTTTCAGAGGATATGAATGCACAAGTAGATCGCCTGGGCTCTTCAGAAGCTAATCTTGGTGGTAATTATGAACTTAACTCCGAACGGACGGACGACGTTGAGCGTCTGTTGCAACTGTGTGCGAAGCACCAGCAGTTTTTCAGTAGCACTGCTTTCAGACACATTAGGCCTCGAAATACCACTTGGCGTCTTCTTGTGTCGACCAGCGATGGAACCAGGTAGATCATATTGCCATAAATTACTCGTGGTGTGGTTCCATTCGTTGCCACTCGTTCTGGAGCAATTGCGTCGACTCTGATTATGCTTTGTTACGCTGTCCTTTTTCCATGAGGCACCAAGCGGCTTTCTCGATTGGAAACTGAGGAGTTATCTTAGCCCTCGGTCAGGCAAGCTACCAAGAATCACTGCGTACCGGAATTTCGCTGTCTTTTCCTAATGTCACTGCGCTTCAATGGAATAAGATCTCGTCCGCCATGCAACATACATAAACATCTGCTTGTGATACTATCCATCGTCACCTCATCAGTTACTGGATATCCAAGAGGTGAACCTGTTGGAATCCGGAGGAAAAATCTTTCCTAGCTGTGAGCAGAATATGACCAGACGGACTATTAGTCTCGAACTGAAGCGGAGCCTGCGTGCTGACAAGGAAAGGTGGTGGACCAGTCGTACACAAGAAATGGAGGAGGCAGGAGCAGTAGGCAATTATCACAAGCTCTTCCAGCTGATCCGCACCACTGCTCCCAGGAAATCAGGCGTCGGTGAGACAATCAGAGACAGCGTGGTGGCACTGATACACAATAAGGAGCGCGGATGGCTCGTTAGATGGGACACTTTCAAGCTCAGTCCGGTTGGCCCTCTGCTTCCGGACCTGTTCTACTCAGGTGATGCGGGATGAGCCATGGACGGTTAGTTTAGTGTCTATCGGAGGCTGAGGTCTGAAACACGATATCAACCCTCAATTGTTTATATGTTGATGGCTTGGATTCCCTCCCACTCCCACTATTTATGGATGGTGGTGAAGTCCTCTGGAAAACACTGACCTCCGTTAGAACAGGTCTGAAAGGAAGAATGTCCCGGCTAACTGGAGCGAATCGATTTTATTGGCAATATACAAGAATGTCAGCCGCACCGACTGGGCTAACCACAACGTTTTTAGCCTAGCGGCAGTGGTGACAAAGATACTGGCGTCTATTCTCGTTCGTCGCCTCACTACGGAACGGGAATCTCGGAGTAAAGAAGAGCAGGCATGTTTCCCTCAGTATGTGGCCGTATGGACCATATATTCTTTCTGCGACAGGTGCTACAGCAGCGCCACGCATACCGCAGACCGTCAATAGCTGTGTGTGTGTGCGTTTGATTCAGTTGACTGATGCATTTTGTTCGAAATGCTTTCGCGGTACGATTTTCTCATGAAATATGTGAACATCCTTCGTGCCCTGTACTCGAACACATAGGCCGCGTCAAAGTCTCCTGTGACCTGTCGGATATCTTTCCGACAACAATTGGCTTTCGTCAGAGTTGTCCGATTTCCCCATATATTTTCAATTTTGTCTTGGACTGCATCATGAAGTATTCCTCTGCGGATTCTCACGATGTAGACATTGAGGTCCTTCCTGTTGACTTGCTAGTTGGTCTTGATTATGCGTACGACATTGTTTTGCTTTTTATTTATGTTGATGCGGCGCAATCAACCCGGAATAGCTTCTCTAGAATGGTCCCTTTATATTTGGTATGAGCTTCGCACCTTCAAATTGAAAGTGTTCTTACAGGACTGCCAGCTACTTGATGACCCCTTGACCCTTACTAGCGAGGAACTCTAGGTGGTTGATCGATTCACTTACCCCATGCAGCTGCATCTGTAACGAGACGATGACGGGCGCGTTTGTACTCCGTTACTACCTTTGTTTGAACACTATCTAAAAATGGTCACTTCGACTGCATCACAATTGGACAATTTTAATTGCATTGCGGCGGTTAAACTTTTCGCTGAACTTGGCAATTTCGATACAAACGTTTCATGACCAATCGGGGGTGACATCAACACTGCGTTGTTGCATAGCGTGTAGTATCATGGCGTAGCGCAATCAGCCTCGGTGAAATTGCTCTTTCAGCCTGAGCTACCAGTTTTCGTTTCGAAAGCTAATTGTGGTGTTTACTGATCCCCTTTGCGTGCAGGCCTTGAAATTAGCTGAAACAGCCTCCGTGCGCTTGTCTCTCTTTGTCAGTCCCTCAAATCATTCATTAAAAATTTTGACCCTACCTACTTGTTCTTTCGATTTGCGTTGTTGTGGCCTGTAACCAAAAGGATCACGGATCTGCCTTGTAATCCAAAGGCGCAGGTTCGGGTCTGCGTAGGGGACCAACAACCTTATCCCCCAAGCTCGTCTGTTGGGGTTTGCGCGGCAGAGAAGCGACGTTATTGCATGCCGGCGTACTACCGATACCTTTCACCTTTGTTTTCGTTTCCCAGCCTTGTTGTTCCCGCGTCCATTACTTTTTCGTTAATCATAGCTGCCGAATCCACTGAAAATCACGCTCGACTCATGGATGTTCGGGCTGAAACTGGCTTTTTCCTCACCGCATTGAACTACGCAATCGGACTTTTTTACTGGTCGCTTTGAATGAACTCACCAAACACTCATCCAGCTTAGAGCTTGGGGCACTGGGTGCGACCTCACTCTATGCGTGACAGACTGGTTCAGCCTCAAGTCAAGTTAACGGCAAATATGATCTATGCACCGGAGTTTAGGCTTTTTCAGAAGTCACACTATCACTACAACCCCGCTGAAAGATGGTTGCAGTTAACGATAAGGCAATGTAAGCCAAGATGTACAACTCTCACACCATCAATCACTCACAAATCATGCTCGGGTTTACCTCTTGGCGGACACGTAAACGTTGTAGATTGTAGGGTTAGAAGGTATTACTACCATCCGAAAAATTGCGAGCAATAAAACTACAAATTTTAGGCACAAAACAACCGGCGCCTTTGACAGATTACTGTGTGTGAACGGTCATTTGGAACGAACATTGATGCAGACGTTGAGCGATTCCCAAAACATTAGATACTAGGTGCTAACCTTTGAATTGCCCGCTACATCTAGTCATGTGTATTGATTATCCTCCGATCAGTTTGTCGCTTTGAAACATTTCAGCGGAGATGTTGGGCGAACTGTATAACCATTAGAGAAAATATCTACTGTCGCAAGTTTAGCTATTGAAATGCCTTTTTATGAGGTCGTGTCAATTCTCAGATGATAAAACGATAGTCTTTCAACTTAACGCCAATGTCTCACAATGTATGTGGGCCAAATTAGGTTCTGAAAAAACGCATCAAAGGCTAGTTGACAGTGAACGAATCATGTGCGATTATGTCACTCATTCAACGCATGTTATCTCGGTGATGAAAATGTGTATTACTCCATTATAACGTTTTGTGGTATTGAGAGCAAGGGCTCTGCATGCTGACCATCCCACTAGTTTATACAGTCCACCTTCGATCATTTTGGGGGCACGGTTGTGAAATCCCTACGTACCCTATAAAAACACCGTTGACGAAATTCCATCTATTGTATGCGGATATTTTAGGAAGTCTTTCGATGAGAACGAAACAGTCGGCACTGGTTATGGTAAACTTCTTACCGCATAATTGCGTAAATCGAGTACGATTAGTAAAATACTTACATAGCCACTTTTTTACTCGTTACGCAATGGGATTGGGTTCATACTCCCAACCGTGACCGTGATCGTCTGTAACCAAACCTTAGCCATCTCGGTTGCTTACACCGTACCTGTATTAAGGTTCTTTCACTTCTAACAACTGGCATCAGCAATACATCGTCACCTCGTACCAACGATTCTCTGCCACGCGACCAACATCAGTCACGTGCGGGCTGTGAGGTCGCCCGCAGCTACTTAGGCTCAAACCGCCGGGCACCTGTGGATCACAAACTGGACGTTTGAACCATTTTTGATCGTCAGCTGATCTTGCCTGAAGCACTGCACTCCATCACCGGTTTGGACGCTGGAGGTGGGGGCGTATCTTCAGTTTATGCATCGGCTGTCCGAATGGTTGAATCCTGCTTCCTCTTGGCTTTTCCTTTATAGATTGGGCAAACGTACGAGCATAAAGCATCGGCTTCTTGTCAGGTTCCGTTTGACATTTTCGGTGATATACAAAGGTGCAATATTGAGTGTTTTTTGTCATTCTATCGTTCATACGACGACTCCACGCCACATAGCCCTTTTGGTGAGCGCTAGAGTGTCTTCGGTCTTGTATGCCTTCTAAACATGATTCTCTTCTTTGGCAAGCTACTCACTTTTTGATCTCCTACCTTATTGGATTTTAATTTCTCGTCTCGTGACAACAACTGCTACAATACACTAATATAGAACGCTCATTAAGTTGTTTGTCGAGTGGCGTTAATTTATGATTCAGACGAGTAGCTAGGAACCCGTGACACCATATCAGTTTGAGCACCAGTGTATCGCCCAAGCTTTGTGATACTAATAATAATACCGTTTTCCCTGAAAGATTATCTTGGACAAGCTCTTAGAGACACCGGTGTTTGTCTACGTTCTATAGGCTAATTTGTATGGCTTTGGCTGATGTGATTCGTGTCGACGAAGTCGGTTCCAATTCTACTACTCCAAGTGATCAGCAAGTGGGACAAGACCGAGATAACCTTGTCGACGTTGTGAACTTCGAAGACGACCCAGTCGTCCACTCTCGCTTGCATGAGGTCATGCGACTGCGGGACGACCATGGCCGCACTCTTGTTCACGATGCTGCTTTGGGCGCCAACTTGGATTGTCTCAAGCTGGTCCTGCTCTCGGGAGGTGATCCATTTGCTGCGGACTACTCGGGCCGTACCCCATTGCATTATACGGTTGCTTCGTGCGTTTTCGCGACGCACACACCGAACGCTGTTCTCAGGGCAACTCTGTCTTCTTTGATTCTGCTTAAAGTGAGTTGATCATTGTTCCCTTCGCTGTTTCTCTTCACTCAGTCGGAACAGGTGCATGCGGTGTGTGTGTTCCCTTTCAGTTCTTTGCCTCTCGTCTCTTGCTAGTTTCCACCGGATATTTACAAGCAGCTGACCTTGTAGTATTGGTTTTATACTTTTCCGTGGGACACTGGAGTACGAAGGAAGGTTCTCCCATTGTCACGCATGCCACGCCTTGCATGTATCGTGTGCACCGCGGACTCTACCCTCCTGTGCTCACGTCTCTTATGTTGGTTTTCAGATGCTATGAATTAATTCCTTATCCATGTGTACGATTTTATGTAATCTCGTCATACTCACTTCGTTCTCTCGTGTGCAGACCGAAACGGCGCTGGCACTTCACCCATCCGTTGTCTGGTTTTTCCAGACACCTTGGTTTACCCGCTAAAACCTCACCCCGCACACAATAACCCGTGTTCGCAAAAATATTATCACGAGGGTGTCCATCACCTCGCTTGTTTTTCAGTCCATGTACGCACACCCAGCTCTGTTAACATTCTCCACCTGTCTGTCTCCTTAGAGGTCAGCATCGCTTGTCTGCTGTGCTATCCGTCTACTTGTTCGGGTCGCATCGGAACAACTGATCAGACATAATCACTGCGCCGTTTGCGCACGGAACGTAGGCTGTTATTGAGTGCACCGGTTCGGGCAGGAGAGAACGCGAACCCTTGCCTCGTGTGATTGTGTGCTGCATTCGCATCGCATTTTGACACGGAATTTTCTGTGTGCTTTGCGGTCGAACGAGGCGTAATTCGGGTCACTATTTGCCTACAAATAAATCGATGGATTTGAGTGTTGCCCGCCCGAAAACGCTGCAATCCACGATGAGCTTCGGCATCATTTGCTCACATCAGGTTGAGGTAGCAGACTTCGAACCCAGGACCATTGGGATGTTAGTTGAGACCTCAAACTTTTTGATCACCGGCTCAAGACAAGCAACGCGTGGCTCAACGGTTAATGGGTGATCGGAAGTTATTTGTTAAGTACTGGTTTTTCACCAGGCACACCTAAATCAGCGTGCCCAATCGTTTACATTGATGACATATAACGATCTCATTAAACTTTTGAAGGATTCATAAATTATGCCCATTCTGAAGTCAACTGGCAATTGCGAAGAAATTTATTCTCGATAAATCTCTTCAGGCAATTACAACTTTGAGCTTCGTAATCATTTGTGCGGTAGTTATTGCTAGCGATGCGACGCAACGTAGTGAATGATGCGATCGGATGAACGGTGGCAATCTGTGTCTATTTGAGCTCACTACCATTGACCACTAGCCAGGAGTCAGGGGAGCAGGCTATGACCACGGTAGGGTTAAACTCTGTATAAGTGCATGCTGTTTACACAGTTCCGGCCTCAGTTGCTTGATTGCATTTGCTTCCGCTGTGGCCAGCAGGCGCTTCGTGACCTTTTGTGTGTAGTGTTTTGCTTCTACCTACACTATTTTGAAGATCTCTTTTGTTTGTATGTTATGTCCACTACCTATGAGGTGTTCTAGGATACAGCTATGGACATTTCTGGTGGTACCATGCTATAATGAGGCAGGACAATGTTCTTCTATCCGTTTTGACAGATGTCTGGTCGTGTGTCCGAGATATCTCGCACCATAGGTGCAAGTGAACTGGTATAGGACATAGGATTCGGACTAGGCCGGAATTCTGTCTTTTAGGCGGTTGGTAATGAGCGGAATGGTTTCGATGTGAATGCAGACTCTAGTGGTCGGGTACGTTTGGTTTATCATAGCAGTCGATTTCCCACCCAAGAGTTCCAACTGTAGACCTCCTTTGGAAGGCATTGGAACAGCTTTGCTCACACTTCCAATTATCCGTGGATGAACTCATTGAGAACAAACGAAAGGTGTTCCTAAGTTACATGTCCGATGTATACGCAAGTACTGAAGAGAGAAAATACACGAACTTGCTATACAGTTTGACGCCTAACGTGCCTGAATCGAAATTTCCAGCGCACCCGGAACGATACGTTCATAATCTCTCTAGAGTGAAGCTCTACAAACTACAACTTTTGGCGCTGTCATTGGGACCAAAATTCTGCGCATCACAATCACGTAGGACGTAATTGTATGTAGACACAGTTCGAGTGTTAAATGCATCAGCTGACCTAATTAGTCTACCTCCTCCCGAGCTCATGAGTATTTCAGAACCACTTTCGTGAATCTATCACAGAGATATTGGAGCAGCAGGGTACAAACCTCAAAATTAATCATCAATGCACACCGAGAAACGATAATAGAATTGACATCCAATCCAGAGATCATGCTCTCAAGGCCAGATAAGGCATCAGATTGCATAATAATGGAAAAGTGTGACTACATGTCCAAGGTGCACACGATCTTGCATGACCCCAGCAAATTCGTGCTTGAGTACATATAAAAGGACAACACAGCACAGGACGAGATCAAAATAACCAACTCTTTGAAAGAACTAAAACGCGGTAACTACATCGATAGCCCCTTGAGCGATTAACACCTTGTGGCTCGCATCCACCTCTCCTCTACAGTGTGCCAAAGGTCTACAAACCTAACACCCCACTACGATTGATATGTCTGGGTCTGCTACACAGTCGCCAAAAGGCTTGTGGAACTTGTCGAACCAGTACTTAAAGAATTGTTCGGTCACACTGTGAGTGGCACATTTGCATTCTTTCAGCTAATTCATCATCGCCACACCCAATCAGCAGGCTTAGGCTAGTCTGGAAAAGCACCAGACGCCGGCGTCTCGACCTTCTGGATCCTGTCAGTGGTGCGCCTTCCAGCGGACCCCTGCCGGGTTCCGCCCGCATGACTTCAGGAGGCTAGCCGTTGTCCTATGCACAGTTCGTAACTGGCATGGCAGTGGAAGATGAGCCGGGCTATCTCATAGTCAACTGCTAATCACGCAGGTCCGCGGCTGTCACCCATGGCGAAGTGGCACTAGCTGCTAGCATCCTGAAGTAATGGGGGCGGAACCCGGCAGGGGGAGACCCAGAAGGTCGAAACGCCGGCGTCTGGTGCTTTTCCAGACTAGCCTAAGCCTGCTGATTGGGAGTGGCGATGATGAATTAGTTGAATCATGCCAAAATCCTCACTACTCAACAGTCCATTTGCATTGGTTCTTCAGGTAGAAAGCTTAAACTTTGATGTTGAATCTCTCTTCACCAACGTTCCATTGTTAGAAACGGTCAATTTCATCTGTGAATACCTAATAGAAAACAACATTGTTCTTCCGATTCCGGATCGTAATGTGAGAACTGATTCTACGTTACGCATTCAACAGACAGTTTCCATGTAATGGAAAATACTATAGACAAATAGACGGAGTTGCACTGGGATCGCCCCTAGGACCGCTGCTTGCAGACATTCTTCTCGCAAAAGTTAAACGCAGACCTACCAGACGCCTAATCGCATTCCTTGATTATTACAAACGATACATGCATGATACGTTTATTGTTTGCGACTAATACTGATCATGTTCACCTGTTGAATCAATTTAACAACGCACATTCATCGTTGAAATTCACTTCCAAGATTGAAGCGGACAGTAAGCTGTCTTTTTTAATGTTTTACTGCGACGACGAGAGCACTCATCGCTTGAAAGAGGTTTTCCGCAAGCCAACCTGGATAGGTCAGTGCACGCACTTCCACAGTTTCGTAACGATAAAGTACAAACGAAACTTGGTACGTTGCTTGTATTATCGGGCTACAAGGATTTGCAGGTTTGAGACACTGGAAGCGGAGAAGAATTTCATACTCAAGCAACGGGTACCCAAATGATTTCATCAAAAAGCATTCCCAGCTCCGAACTGAACCGGAGCCGAAAATGACCGGGAGTAGGAAAGATGTTTTCCTCTCAGTGCCTTTCAGAAAAGACCTACAGTTCGAACTCTTGAGTAGGAACTTGATTTCCGCGCTAAGTCAAACGTACCCGGCCGCCAGAGTCCGCATTTACGCCAAACCGTTCCGCTCATCACCAACCGTCTAAAAGACTAAATTCCGGCCCAGTCCGAATCCTATGTCCTATACCAGTTCACTTGCACCTGTGGTGCGAGATACCTCGGACACACGACCAGACATCTGTCAAAACGGATAGAAGAACATTGTCCTGTCTCATTATAGCGTGGTACCACCAGAAATGTCCATAGCTGCATCCTAGATCACTTAATATATATATATATATATATATATATATATATATATATATATATATATATATATATATACACAACAACCTACGAATAAACATAAAGGCATCACGAACCATGGGACTCAAAAGAGGGTACAGAAATAGTAATAGAAAACACAACAAAACACAATCAAGTCCATGGTTTCGTCAGAGGCCGAGATACTACCTAGTTGCCCAAGACGAAGTAGGGTGTTGACTTAGGGGACACCACCCCGAGCCTTTGGCTGAATAGCCTACCCGCAAGGCGGCGGAACGAATTCAGAGAATCACGTCCATTGGGAGCCGGTAACTGATTACTCAGTTCATACGCCTTTCATTTGCTCCTTTGTCAAACAGGGGCCTAATGCTCCCCAAAATAACAGCACAAACATGCTGGAATACAATGCTTCGCCAGGATGAAGCAAAGGGCTGTGACTTTATTTAGTAGCGAGTCACCTCCGCCACGTCACAGTGTTGCTAAACGGACATATGTGAATTTTTATAGGGAGAACGCTTGCCAGGCGAAAACCCATCACGTCCAGGAACATTGCCGCCGAACCATTTGCTGGAACAGGAAAATCCCGAACCATCCAGCTGGCACCACGGGGTTGTTCAACAAGCCAGCCTAATACATAGTGGACATAACATACAAACGAAGTGACTTTAAAATTAGTGTAGATATCAACATAACGCTGCACAAAAGGACTCACGAAACGCCTCCCAGCCACAGCAGAAGCAATTGCGGTCGATCAACTGAAGCTGGAACTGTGTAAACAGCGTGCACTTACGCAGGGTTTAACCCTACCGTGGTCATAGCCTGCTCCCCTGACTTCTGGCGTAGTGGTCAATGGTAGTGGGTTCAAATAGACACAGATTGCCACCGTTCATCCAATCGCTACTTTGCGTCGCATCGCTAGCAATAGCTACTGCACAAATGATTATGAAGCTCATAGTTGTAATTGCCCGAAGAGATTTATCGAGAAAAATTTTCTTCGTCATTTCTTTTTGAAGGATTATTCCACTGTTCTTCCGTTCCGGTGTAACTGATCTCTTCAGAAATGACATCTGATCCAGTAATAGGGTTACCGCCTTCATCGATCACTTGCATTGTCGAAGGGGGCTCTCCGTTTTTTCTATGACCTTGTTATTCGACCAGCTTCATGCATTCACTTGTCATCCGTAAGACCTTTTCCCTTCTTATCTGTACCACTGACGAACGTTTGACATCGCCTATTGATTGTGTGAATGTATTTTTATTGAGCTTTAGTTTTTCTGAATTTCTTAACCTGTGTTCTCCTCTTTAGGTTGGTCGAAAACGCGCTTGTGCTCTTATTACTGGAAGCGCTCTAGGATGCTGTAGATTTGATGCTATGACTGTTCGACTACCGTGTATACGTTATTTAGAGATAGTGCGCAGACCAACGAACCCTGCGACCAGAGGTCAAAACAGGCACTTTCTCCCAAGGTTTGAGCAGAATGAGGCCAAGTGGAAACCAGCTATCGCCCAATGGTCAAATCCAGACAACAAGAAACGTATCAATCAATCAATAGGCTAGTGTTGACCCGAGGTCCACACCCTTGATCAATAGCGTTATAACTAGAGCATTTTGTGCTAATGGAAGCTGACTCACGTAGTCGTCTCCTAAAGTTTTAGCTTACTGTCTACTCGCTTTTTGTTCTTCCTTTACTGCGCGTTTGTTTTCTCTCGCAGTTCGATACAACAATATGCTGTGTAGAAGTAATTGGAGAGAAAAAGTACATCCGAAGTGCAGTGGATCCGGTTAGACACTTCACTGAAATACTAAGGATACCACTACTAGTAATAATAGCTAATTAACTAGAACATCATCAGCTGGTGTAGTCATGAGCCCGTGGTGAGGGAAAAATGCAGGAGTGCCTCAAATCATATTGCCATACCATGTCGGATAAGGTATCCATCCAAGGATGTGTTCGTTCCGGTGGACCCCATCCTGGAAGACGACAAGAACCAATCAGTTGAACCTTTCGGACAGTTTCTTCACACATTTTCTCATTATCATCGTCTGCTCACTTCCTGGCCTCTGATCCATGTCGTAACACTGGTCGCGCCGTAGTGTTCCTAACCCTTCTCTTAACCAATACGCTCGCATCCCGCCATCTCCTCAAGTGGTCAAGACTTTGAACAGGTGCACAAGCCCTTGCAATGCTTACCATAACCACTACGGAGGTAATGACTTGCAGAACTGATGCAGCTAGATCATGTTCCACGAGCACATTTTTTGACCATTTGCCTGGACCAATCAATGAAGTTGTCAAGTTTAACTTTTGTATCCCTCCTGCACACACTTCCATTGCGAATGTGGCCGCACTCGATCAGCAATAGGTTACCTTTCCAGAATGTGACTGATTAGTCTAAAAGTAGTTTCCCCCGTCATCCTGTCAGTGTATTCTGTCGTCTCCGTTCATCCTCAGCTGGGCGTGGAAGTAAATGTTTCCGACAAGTACGGTTGCACCCCATTACACTTGGCCTGCGCTTACGACACATCTGGTGCATTGGTTAGGCACCTCATCCACTACGGTGCTGATGTGTTCCGACTGACCGGTTGGCCTTCCGTGATAAGCAACATGGACACTCCGATACCATCAGATGCCGCCGCCACCGAGCAACAGATCGACCAACAGCGTCCTTTGGACGAAGTGAGTAACTTGTGTGCAGTTCTCAACATTCTTAATGGTGCCCCGCCTGCAGACATCGAGACACGGCTCTGTGCTGTGGGTTCCAAGCATCCATTCATGTTCTGCTTTGTTTATATGGAATTCTTACCCTAAATATAGTCCATTGAAGAAAAATATGCTTACAACGGTCGGGTCGAGCCTCTGTGTGTATGATGATATATGAACCTTCGTGCTCCAATGAGCCACTTCGGGTGGCATTTTCCGGATATCTCCGGAGCCAGCCAGGCCTGACATGCTGATTGAGTAATGATCGTACTAGTCTTCTGTCAGCATAAACTGACTCCTTCCAAAATTCAGCCACATAGCAGTTCGATTAGCTTAGAGCATTTGCGCTACCAGTCGACTCTGACGGCGAGAGTGAATCACCGTTGCTTAGTGATTTGTGCGACGGCCCATCTAGAACCGAGCAAACCCTTATCAGTCAAGTGTAGCTTCGTCAAACTCTTGCAGTTTACCAACTTCTCCGGTGCATGATGTCATTTGACCGGAATTTCAGTGCCTATTGTTTTGAGCTCACTGAGATTATGTGCGTCTTGTATCGATCAGCCGATAGCGGTAGTCTATATTCCATACTCTTGGTCTGCTGACCACACTGTTGTTTTCATGCTTCGTTTGGGTTCCTCCGAGAAATCCCCAGTTTATCTCCCTGTTAGGCGATAAGTATGAACCGATGATTCCCTTTGGAAACGGTTGCTTGGAAAACTCTGTTTCTGCGTCCATTCTTTGTTCCCCACTCTTGACAAGTTTCTTATTTCCAGAGTAACCAGTTAACTTCCGATCCTGGTTCTCCAGTTTGTGCACTCAAAAGCCCTTAAAATCATGAGGTCCCATTTGGCACATCTTTCTTCCATGTTGAGCGGTGCCCGAAGGGATGCGTTGTCTACCTTGTCACTCAAAGGTCACCGGTTCGAATCCACGTAGGTTATCAGCAGTACGCCGGTATGCAGTACCGACGCTTTGCTGCCGCGCAACCACCACCTGGTCCCTATGTAGGCTCGAACCCGCATCCTCAGAATACAAGGCAGGCTTGTGATCCTTAAGGCTGCGGGAGACCTCGCAGTGTCACTAGTCCACGTGCCATTGGTTATTGTCATGTGTGAATCGAGCGTTGGCACGACGTGCCTTTGTAATGAACGTTCCATTTTTTCACCGTGCTTTAATGACTGCACTCCGTATGAGATCGGGTGACAAGCACGCGCTTTACTCACCTCTGAAGCTGATGTGTGCGGTATTTTCGAAACGCGCATGGAAGAACAACTTCTTGGCCCCGAATCACTTACTAGTGGACCACGGTTCACTACACGGAGTTGCTAACTTGAGGCATTTGTCATACCGATCTTGCTGCGGGGTCCTATGTCCCATCAAACGTGCGCCCACGCGTCACCCAGTACAATTCCCGGCAGGGTTCATCATACTTTGTCGTCTAACCGATCCCACACTGTGTGATTTGGTTAGTTATACTGTAGATTCGGAGTTATATAACCCCGTGTTCGCATTTTGCGTGAGTCAGCAACCGCACTCTTACTGAACAGACGAGTCTTGTTACTTGGGCGCTCATGCTCCACTCTTGCGTCACACTTTTCGCCTCGCCTTAGCACAATTATACAAACCGTGGTCGTCTTTGTGGTCTGTCCAGTTTCTAGGTTTCGTGTCGCCGTTCGGGGTTAGTATCTGTAGCTAGTTTGGCCACTCTGCGCGTGGGGAATAAATCGGCTACTGCTGTTTGTTTCGTTCTAATACAATGATCCAACAGGTATGTGCTCAGCATAATTGATGGAACCAGTCTCCCTACAATATGTCTAGCTAAATTCGATCCGGCTACACGACACTTTTTAGCGCTGGAACGTGGCGGCGTTATTTCATGGTCACACGCTTCCACTGACCCCAACCCCAATACCGTATGAAGCATTTTATATTTGCAGTTCTCATCCCTTAGGATGTTGACTTCAGCTACGAATATCGTACAGGCCGCTGGCCAAAGGAATTGCATGCCTGTCTTGTAATTCTGGGGTCGCCGGGCGACCCTCGCAGTATCCTTGGCCCACCCACAACCGATGGTGGTTGCCTGGCAACAAAGCTGCGTTACGGCTTACACACGTACTGCTGATACCTTTCACTTCCCTACGAACATCGTGGTCTTAGTCAATTACACAGATACTGCCTGAAACGCTGTTTTCTGGTTAACACTTGTCAATGCAGAATCAGGAACCACCTTTCTCCATCATACCGGGAGCACAATCATTTTAGGTACTGGTAGCTCTTTTACTTGCCCTTAGCTGCTGCTTGTGTCTAAAATGCTATCGGTTGACTGCCTCACCTAATCTGTTGTTCTGCCTTCTGCGTGCTTTCATTCACGTTCATATCAGACGGTTCGCACTCCAGTGAACTGTCTGACATCACCTCACCTTACCCGCCGTAACCCGTTCACGGTCACAACAACAATTTGTTTTCAAGCTAAACGTGATGTTCATTTTTCGTAAGCCAACGGCAGGACTTTGTCCTCCCGTTGATCTGTGTGTGTTTATGTATGACCTCATTCATTTATCAGCCTCACAATTTCTCAGTCACATTTTGTTTTTCTCTTTGGGGTCAAGTGCTATGATTCATCACTTTTTTTCGTGGCCTCCATCACCATTTCTCGCCACAGCCCTCCTACTCGCCCCTCCATATCGCGGTCAATGTGCTCAATATTCCAGCCGTCAAGCTGCTTTTGGAAACGTGCCCAAATCATCTGTTACGTCAGTTTGTGCTTGGGAGTAGAATCCGCCCAACTGACTCACCGCCAACGGCAGGGCGCTGTGACTATCAACCAAAACTCACCTTAGACAACCATAGGGACACTGCGTCCAAGGGCGCGCCGTCTCCGTTCCTGTTGGCCGCTTTTCGTGGCAATGTGTCGATTATGCGGGTGAGTGTCTGCTCTCTGATTTTCCGTTTTGTAGACCGTGTTTTCCGTTTGTATGTCACTCGGTCTAACCCAGGGGTGTCCAGACTTTTCGCAAGGAGGGCCACATTTTGTGAAGAAAAATATGTCGGACCATATTCAGTCTGACGTTAAGATAACAAAAAATCTATATAATATCGCCTTACGAAAAAATCCAAGCCTGAATCTATTATTTCATGATGAGGCCGCGAGCCATTTGAAATGTTAACTCGGACCGCATTTGGCCCGCAGGCCTGACTTTGGACATTCCTGGTCTAACCTAAGCTATCTTATCTGGTGGTGCTCTAATTGTTCAATTACAGCCACATCAGCGTGAACCGAACTTTGCTATGCATGCAGTGGGGTCTGGTGTCACTGCTCGTCATGGACGTAGGCGAATGCTTCTTCTATCCTACTTGAAATTGGATTAATGCCAACGCACACCTGTCACAGAGGAATGTCTTGCCACACTTGCAGATGAGTCATATCAATCAACCTCTCCAGCACCATAACTATCTTACATACCGATTCACTTACTGGTGCACTGATGTCAGAAAGAGGTTTCTCTCAATCTGAAGAGCCGTGAATCTAAGGCCACAGTGAGGGCCGTCCTACTCTATGGATTGAGACTTTACCCCTTCGATCTGACGATCTGACGCGTTTTCAAATTTTTGATCATCGCTGTCTGTGGAGGATTGCCGGTATCGGATAGCACCAGCGAGTCCGTAACGATGATGTGCGTAGGCGAGTGCTAGGTAGTGGAAATCACTCTAGTTCCTTGGAACAAGATTGCACCGAAAAAGTTGCGCTGGCTTGGACACGTACTACATAGGTCTGGTCACCGTTTACTGAAAAGGGCCTTGTTTTGTCTGCTAGATGAAGGGTGGCGCAGGGCGCGACGTTAACTTGGCAGCAAGAAATGAAGTCACTGACTAAAGGACTCGGTGCCGTTTGTTCATCTTGCCTTCCAGGCTGGAGTCCACGCGACCCGCCTTGTACTTGACTCAAGACGTTGCAGGGTGGGGCTCGCATTCGGCACCATTGGCGTGTTCACTGTCGTTTCGGAGTCAGACTGCCTGTTTAACATGTGTTAGTGCTGAGTTATCTACGGGGTAATGGCTGCTTATGACTTGACACAGTGAGAACCGCAAGGAAGCTGTCTCGCTGATGTCGCATTAACTTTGCACGATAGCCAGCTGTTTTTGACGGTATGTTATCGGCACACTGTGTAGGCGCCTTCACCCTGAATCTTTGCCTAGGTCACTAAGGCATTACCTAGGACACCCTTCTCTCACTCTTATTATTATTCTTTCCGTAGGTCATTGTGGCTGTCCGGCAGCGATGCATCAGTTCGAATGGCTGGTGTTCTGCTATTCATCATGATACTGCACTGATGTCAGGCGGCATTCATCTACACTGTCTGTCAGTCACGACTGTTATGCGACGGGAAGCGTTGTTCGATATCGCCGGTTTCCCTTATTGTCGCGGCCCGGTCAAATATCCCCACAAAAACGCGCCACAAACTCCGGCGTAATGGCTGTGGAAAGCAGAGTTTAATTCCTCCCACCAACATAGCTTACAGTCACTCCGAGACGCGGCACAACCGCGCACATGTTGGCAGTGTTCTTTTACAAACTACTACATCTTCGCGGTAGCTATTCTCACCAACTTAATGATCAATAGCATTGGCTGTGATTCGCCGTTTGTTGGTCGTTAACGAGCCTTCAGCAGACCACTTGTCTTGCTTTCTCCGTCGCAACGTGACTGGACCTTAACGTGGTGCAACGGTTTGCGTACCTAACTAACCCATTAAGCTATACTGGGTGGTGCCTCCGGGCACCTTGAGAGCTACTCCTACCAGATTGGTCAATGGTGAGAGGTCAGACAAACTCAGTCTCCTGGTCCTCCAGGTTGGGGGTTTGAAATGGGATGGCGTCCATTTATGTAAAACTAAATCATTGCCACCTCCCCGCTGCCTTGCGGACAGGTTTTTGAGCCAAAGGCTTTGGATGAGGACCCTAATCGTCCTCCTGTCTAGGTCTGGGTGCCCTGGCAGTATCTCAGCCCACATACAACCATGACATTTCCTTCAAACATAAACTTCATCCTGCATCGGCCGTCGCGCAGATCATCAAGGGTCGCCTTATCTGCTGCATACAACAGGGCGGATAAGCGAAAACATGCTACTGCTGGCGCCTCCCTTCTTTCTTTTCCACCTTTTCCTCTTACTCCCATCCCGGCCCCTATTACTAACCTTTCTTCTTTAATTCCCAGCTCAATTGACAGCAACCGAAGTGCCACTGGAGTAGTGTCATCTGCAGCCACCATCCCACAGCTCCTATCGGACGCCTATCGGCAAAAGTCCCTTGTAAGGCCACGCTGTCCCGTTTCCATGGCAACATTCAACGTCCGCACTTTAAGACAAACAGGTCAGCAGGCTGCACTCGCACGCACCTTGGACACACTGGGTGTTGATGTGTGTTGTGTGTCCGAAACTAAGATCAATGACCCTAACGGGGTTGTTGAATTGACTGCACCCGGTTTGTCCTCTCGTTATTGGTTGCACGCATCCGGAGACGCCGATGCGGCACTCACGGGTCAAGCTGGTGTAGGTATCATTCTAAGCTCCAAGACTGAGCCGTCGTTGATTGATTGGATTCCGGTGAACAGCCGTTTATCTGCAGCCTGTTTGACGACATCAGCCAAGGTTGATTCACGAAGTAGTACAAAACGCTGTTCGTTTGTGATTTCCGCTTATGCTCCCACCGACTGCTGTCAAAGACACATTCTATCACGACCTGAATGCGCTATTACGCAATGCTTCTAGTTCAGATATTATAGTACTTGCAGGCGATATGAAAGCACAAGTACGGCGTCTTTGCTCTTCAGAAGCTCAGCTAGGTGGTAAATGGGCGCTTAAGAACGAACTGACAACGGTGAGCGTCTGCTGCAACCGTGTGCGGAGCACCCAAATTGACCACACAGCCATAAGTTACAGATGGCGTAGTCCTATCCTGGATTGCTGCTCGTACTGGAGTAGCTGTGTCGACTCTGATCATGCCCTGGTACGCTGTCCTTTCTCCATGGACTTTCCCGGGAGACGCACCAAGCGTCCCCTATGATTGGCAACGGAGAAATTGTTTCAGCCCTCGGTCAGGCAAGCCTATCAAAAAGCACTGCATACCGAACTTCTGCTGTCTTGTCCTAATGACACTGAGCTTCGGTGGAATAGGGTCTCGGCCGCCATGCACGACGCAGGAGCATCTGCTTGTTGCACTATCAATGGTAACCGCACCAGCCACTGGATATCCGAGAGGTCGGTGAACCTGTTAGAATCTAGAAGACACCTCCCGGCTGGCTCTGAACACAATGTGACCAGACAGGCTATTAGGCGTAAACTAAAGCAGAGCCTACGTGCTGACAAGGAAGCCTGGTGGACCAGTCGGGCTCAAGAAATGGTGGAGCAGGAGCAGTAGACAATTACCGCAAGCTCTTCCAGCTAATCCGCACCATTGGTCCGAGAAAACCAGGCGTCAGTGAGACAATCAGAGACAGCGCGGGTGCGCTGACACACAATAAGGAGTGCCGTATAGCTCGTTGGGCGGAACACTTTCAAGATCAGTTCAGCTGGCCCCCTGATTTCGGGCCTCTTCTTACTCAGGTGATGCAGGACGAGCCATGGACAGTTAGTTTAGAGCCTCCGTCGGAGACCGAAGTCCGAAACGCGATCACAGCCTTTAATCGTTTTCGAGCCGCTGGCCCGGATTCCCTTACACCTGCACTGTTTAAAGATGGAGGTGAGGTCCTCTGCAAAGCACTGACCTCCCTATTCGAACGTATCTGGAAGGAATTGTCCCGGCAAATTGGAGCCAATCGATTATGGTGTCAATACACAAGAAGGGCAGTCGCACAGACTGTTCTAACCACAGGGGTATTAGCCTAACGCCAGTTGTGACAAAATTACTGGCTTCGATTCTGGTTCGTCGCCGCACTGCGGGACTGGAACCTCGTATTAGGGAGAAACATGCCGGTTTCCGCCCAGGACGTGGCTGAATAGACCATATATTCACTTTGCGACAGGTGCTAGAGCAGCACCACGCATAATGCAGACCGACAATAGCTGTGTTCCTCGATTTCAAGAGTGCGTTCGATTCAGTCGATCGATCGAGTCTGTTCGAAATACTTACGCGGAAAGGTGTTCTCACGAAATATGTGAACATCCTTCGTACTCTATACTCGAACACTACAGGTCGCGTCAGGGACTATGGTGTCCTATCGGATAGCTTTCCGACCACAAGTGGCGTTCGTCAGGGTTGTCCGATTTCCCCATTTTCGTTCAATTTCGTCGTGGATTCTATCATGGAGTGTTCCCTTGCGGAATCTCACGATGTAGGTGTTGAAGTGCTGCCTGGTGAAAGATTAGTTGATCTTGATTATGCGGACGATATCGTCTTGCTTTTCGACGATGTTGGGGCGGCACAATCAACCCTGAATAGCCTGTCCAGAGTGGTCCCATTATTTGGTATGCACTTCGCACCTTCAAAGTGTTACTGCAGGACCACCAGCCATTTGATGACCCCTTGACGCTTGCTAACGAGGAACTCGAGGTGGTTGATCATTTCACTTATCTTGGCAGCTGCATCAGCAATGATGGGCGCATAGAAACTGACGTCAGCTCACGCATTGCAAAAAACCAGAGCTACCTTCTTGAAGCTGCGGCCTCTTTGGCGACAGAAGGGAGTTTCCCTCCGTCTGAAAGGCCGGGTAAACAAGGCCACAGTGAGGGCCGCTGTGCTCTATGGTGGTGAGACTTGGCCCCTTCGGTCTGAAGATCTGAGGCGCTTTCGAGTCTTTGATCATCGTTGTCTACGAAGCATTGCTGGAGTCGGATGGCACCAGCGTGTCCGCAACGATGATGTGCGTAGGCGAGTACTAGGTGGTGATAATCATGCTAGCTCCCTAGAACAACAGATAGCACTGAATAA